AAAAAGTAGGTGTTACATTGTACAGTGGCATTAAGTGCCGTAATGTGCACCTTTTTATCCCAGAAGGGGTAGGCAGAGGTGCACATTACAACAACATTTAATGCCACTGTACAAGGTAACACTCACTTTTCACTATTTATGTTATGAGTACCATGTAATAGGTGGTGAGCTTATTGCCCATACACCATACGGTATACCTCTACCACTACGTACGCCTACGGGGATAAAAGGCATGATATTATGTTATAATAAAAGATAATCTTTTCATTTTGGAATATGAAAGTCTTTACTGTAGACTTCTGCTAACCACTTCATGAAATATAATTAAAAAATCGTTTACACAAAAAACACTAACGAAAGATCTTACCACCAACCGACCTCGCTTGTCCAGACGATACACATTTATAAAAGTAGGTATAGCAACTAGCAACACACCCCGCTGTGGCAGTATTGTACAATATTTGTTTATCATTGCCAGACCACTGCCTACTCTATTGACATAACTCACTTAGTTTCAGTTACACCTTTTAGTGAGCTCTGAACCACGGGACAAGTTAGTTCTGATAATGGTCCAATTATCCATAAAAAAAAATTGCTGATTTTTTTCATTTGTGTGTCATTTTTTTTTAATTTTCGTCCGGTTTTTTTTTAAATTAGTGGTGTCAGATTTGTACACGTATTTGAGAAAAGTGTTTAATGTTTTTTTCTTCAAGTTTTGTCTAGTCATCTTAACCCAAAGTGTTCAGTAAAAAAAAATATTTTATAGTTACATCTCTTTTTTTTTCGATTTTGCCTGGATAACCTTATTCAATTGAATTTTACGTTGGTTTAGACTTTTCAGTTCGTAGAAATTTGACAAGTTTTTGATGGTGCAAATTCTTGAGTGATGATTTTTCTTTGTAATCAAGTTTTGTTATAAGTGTCTGATGGGGGACATACGTGTGCAGGAGTGGAGGTGTGCAAGATGTAGAGTATGTATTTATTTTCGTTCTTTGATGTTTTTGTCTATTGTTTAGTTATAGAATTCGTATTTTTAGAATATGGGACTTGTACATTGTCCATCCCATTAATGTTCAATGATTGTGCAGTATGGTATCTGTCTATCCCTTCGGATGGTTAAAGTATACTGTTACCTAATTATGTTTTTGAGAATGTTAGAATAATGGGTCCAATTTTTGTCAAAATTAATTGCAGTGACTTTGGAACCAGGTACATAGGTTCCCTAAAAATGTATATATCTTCATTTATTTATCACATTAATATTGAACTTATTAAGGTACTGCTGACCAAAAGCCTTTTCTCACACGGAGAAGGTTTGAGCATTAATCACCACACTTGCTCAATGTGGGTTGCTGATTTCGAACTTCTAATTAGATATTATAAGCCCAGGTTTCCTCACGATGTTTACCTTCATCGTTTGTGTACATAGTACATCACACAATCATATCCGACAAACATTTTGTGACCAAAATATACCTGTACAAAAACGATTAACAACAAATTTTTCTAATATATTTTCCAACGTTTATTTCCAACAGTTTTATTTTTAGAAATTTACACCGAAAATGTCAGAAATTGTAGAACCGGAAAGGTCTTTAGTTTCGTCAAAAACGTTGTCTATGAAGCGCAAATATAGCAGTTTCCGCTTTCAATTTGTAAACGCTTTTTTGAATCCTTTTTTAGTTTTTTACCGGTTTTCCTTGCTATTTTTCACATTTCAGTTGATTTTTGAAGTGAAAACTTCTTTAGTGGTGTTGTACCTACACTTTTTTTGTAATGGGTAAAAAATGTAAAAATTGCGTCAGGACACGTGACCCTGATCGAAAATTCGTAAGACGGATGGAGCGCGATACGCGAACGATCGTGTGTGTTTACGTGTTTAATTGAATTTTTAAATAATGAATTTGTTTTAACTATGTCAAATGACCGCCATCTTAGAACAACGAAATACAAAACTGCTACGATGCGGTCTTTATTAGACATTTAAATAGGGTCAAATTAAAACGGTTCGTATCTTACTTAAGCTATCATAAAACAATGAAAACTTCACTTCATAATATTCATAGATACACTTTGAGTTCGAGCAAAATCTATATTACAAAATAGAAGTTAACATTAACACTGAAATGAAACTAGCATCTGTTAATAAACCATTAGTTATATTAAACCAAATAACGGAAGACATAAAATGGTTTAACTAAACGATCTTGAACCACAGTTTACAATATCAATAAAACAGTCAATTTTAACATACTTATGTGCAGTTAACTCCTAAATTGAGAGGTTTAAAGCGTTAATGTTATACAAGTTTGTGTATTAGTTAGTTATTTTAACTACCTCGTCGACTTTAACTATTGAATATTTCTTAGTATAATGTTGGTCTTTGGCGATTTGTACTCAGTCGTTGCTTACGAAGAACAGAAGATTGAACCTAGTATTTGTTTAAAATAGTTCTTCGTCGAGCTAAGCAATTGACAGATAAGGACTGATGATGATTTTTTTTTCTCTTTTATTTAGTAAGGGTTTTTTATCCACATAGATATGTCAGCGCCATTGTAACTTAAACTATTTTCATAAAAATATTAAACACCTATTTATTAACACTTATTGTACTTAATACTACGCTTATGCCTATACGAAGTCGCGGAGAACCTAACGGGTAACCGGGGCTCTGGCTCGACGTGCAGGAGATGGAACGGGGTGGTTTTTAGTCAGTAAGAGTCGGACGCTCCCTCCCGCCTCACCCAGGCGGGAGCAGTCATTCAATGATTTTCCCCCCTTAAAAAAAATGCCTATACGAAAAGGAGCGAGTCGCGCTAAGCAATTGACAGATAGGGCCTGATGATGATCTCAATTCTAAAATTAATTGACTTGTCGGTAACGCACTTGTAACGCCTCTGGTGTTTCAGGTGTCCATGGGCGGCGCCGATTGCTTACCATCAGGTGATCCGTCTGCTCGTTTACCGGCTTATCGCATAAAAATATTGTTGTACAGAGTTGAGAGAGTCAACAATACAAACTCCGGTGAATTGTATTGTTGACTACCTCGTTGGCCGAGTGGTCGCAAATGCGACTGTACTGCACACGACTGGTATTACGAGGTTTTAAAAAAATGTATTTGTAGCACGGCGTCTGGAATTGTGCTCGGTAATGGCAGTAGGCCTCTATTACATTACCACACACATAACATAGATAGTGAAAAGTGGATGTTACATTTTACAGTGGCATTAAGTGCCATAATGTCAAATAACACCTCTGGCTATCCCTTCGGGGATAAAAAGGTGTGGTGTTATGTTATGTACATTTTGTAATATACTATGACAGTGGGCTACATGTATATCACGCATTTATTTCTTAACACACTGGATTCAGTCTCAAACTCTTAGATTCAGCCCTAAACTCTGATAGTACAGAATATTGCGAATCTGAACTAGAGTCATTAATCAAATGATCAGTAGCTTACAAACGCCTACAACAAATAAATTAGAAATAGGCTATTTTTAACGCTTTAAAAATATTTTGAAGACATTTTAAACCTGTTTTTATGACAGATTGCTTGTAATAGATCTATTAGCATATCATTTGTCTTTACCTGTGACGCCCACGCGGACCATTACGTTTATGTAAGCAAAGTGAATATTGAAACAATACATTTTACGTGTCAGTTACAAATTAATTCTGTGAAAATGACCATGTTCCATGAAAACCCTGGTTTGATGAAAACTTGTACTTATTTATAACTTTAAATAGATATATAACATCACGCCTATTATTCCCGAAATGGTAGGCAGAGTACATAACGGCACTTAATGCCACTGTACAATGTAACACCCACTTTTTACGTAATGAGTATAGATATGTGTGTATTATTTTATGTAATGAGTATAGATATGTGTAGAATGTCTCGCAACGCAATTGTATTCTTATTTGATAGAATACTAGATACATAATTACTTGCAGAAGTTCATCTCACGTCATTTAACATACATACATATATAACCTCACGCTGGTCTCCCATGGGACTAGGCAGAGCCTTTTTTTAAGGTGGGAAAATCATCGAATGACTTCTCCCGCCTGAGTGAGGCGGGAGGGAGTTTCAGTCTTTTACTGACTAAAAACCACCCCGTTCCTTCTCCTGCACTTCGAGCCGGAGCCCCGGTAACTCGTTAAGTTCTCCGCGGGGTAGGCAGAGACTGGGACGCCAATTGCTACGATTCTTACCTACCTCTTTCTGTTAGTCACAGTTAGTTAAAGTCGGTTGATAAACATTATTAACCTTTGCAATTGCTCTTTCAATTTATAATGTTGGAAAAACCGAAAGTTCATATTACGTCGATTTACAGTAGACGTTTAGACCAGTCGGGTAACCGGGGCTCCGGCTCGACGTGCAGGAGAAGGAACGGGGTGGTTAGTCAGTAAGAGTCTGATACTCCCTTCCGCCTCACCCAGGCGGGAGCAGTCATTCGATGATTTTCCCCCCTTAATAAAAAAAGACTTTTAGTCCAGATAAGATACTTATGATTGGGAGGCAAACGAAAAGAAACGAGACTTATTCGCTGTGTGTTAGATATGAATTGGGGCCCACGGGAGTCGGTGCCACAGTGGCACCCACGTTCTACTTACCTAGTCCGACCCTGACAAAAATAAAAATAAAAAAAGTTTTAAGTCACTGAACAAAAATACTATTCCAGTTTTTGACATTACTTAGTTAATTTCTCTCTAACAAGTTAATCAACAAGAGGTTTTATTGGAATCCTGGACCAGATATGTTCTATGGATTACTTACATCGACTTTCATCATCATCATCATCATCAGCAGCTGGAAGACGTCCAATGCTGGACAATGGCCTTCCCTTAATCCTCCACGTCGAACGACAACTCGCCACCTGTATCCTCTGGCTCCCCGCAACTCTGGCGATGTCGTCGGTCCACATCGACTTTAGTCCATAATAAAATTGCTTCAACCTTGACACTAATTCCTATTCCTCTTCCAGACCGGCATGAACCGCGGCTCCCGGGAGGAGTTGCTTGGCAGCTCCCAGGAAGCCCTGCGGAACAGTCAGCATGACCTGCGGCAGGTGTACGAGCGACCACTCACCAAGGAGGAGAAGACCTTCCTCCTGCATGCTGATAGAGGAGACTATGTCACTGTTAAGAGGTGAGAATGTTTTTGGAGACGCATTACCTGATGGTAAGCAATCGGACCAATGTGCAGTTTGAGTTTTTATTAACATCCTAGATTCATCGGTTTAGGTTTAAAACCGGTTTTTGTATAGACAGTTAGGCTATCTAGATCTTAACTCTTTACTTTAGAAGAAGAGACAATGGTGTAATGATATATGCACATTCACACATACCCCAATCCCCGTATTCTCAATAATCCTCAAATTCCTAATACCTGAAAGGCCGGTACCGCACTTGTAACACCTCTGGTGTTTCGGGTGTCCATGCGCGGCGCCGATGGCTTACCATCAGGTGTCCCGTCTGTTCGTTTATCGGCTAATTCTATAAAAACACACACACACACACATGGGGTTATGGGCAGAATTTAATGGTGTCTCATCATAAATAAATAAAAACAAAATAATTTAGCTTCAAGTTTTAAGACTTGTTCTTTCTAGAAACACTTTCCAGTACAAACGGTGAAGGAAAACATCGTAAGTAAACCTGGGCTTATAATTATTGCAAATCCCCTGTCAATAGACTACCTATTTATAAAACAGCATGCTTATTGACATAATACCATAGGTGACCTATTAACTAAACGAATTGACTATTAAATACGTAGTTTGACGTCCTTCTCCTTGATGTAATGATGCAGTTTCACAATACTCCAGGGAGCTTAGACTAGTGTATGGCACGATAGCATCGATTTTCTGCACATACATGTTTCGGTTACGAAATATATTTCTTGGTACCTTAACTTAAGGAGTTTGTATGAGCGATAAATAGTTAGTTTAGTTACTATAACAAATCTAAAAATTAAATTAGTCATTTTCATCATCAATAACATCAAGAGCCTATGAGTGCCCACTGCTGAGCAAAGCCTCTTCTCACACGGAGAAGGTTTGAGCAATAATCCTTGCTCAATGCGGGTTGGCGATTTGAAACTTATAATTAGAATTCAAGTCCAGATTTCCTCACGATGTTGTCCTTCACCGTTTGTCAGTGGTGTCTAAATAATCTTGGAAAGTACATATAACTTGGAAAAAGATACATTGGTAGTACTTGTCGTTGGTAGGTTTTGAACCTGCACCCTCACCCTCATGCATTAGAATCAGGCGTCTTAAACCTCCGGGGCATTACGACCTCTAAATCAATGGTTATACACTTTAGTAATATTATTAGAATAAGAAGTAAGCAGTTTGTTTTTGATTGAGGAAACAATCGTATACATTTTTTTTGAAGTTATTACTGCACCTCTATTTAAAAATTTAAGCAAACCAAATTTCTACTTCATATCAAAAAATGAACCGTAAAACCAAAATACTGATTTGTACAGAAATTGTTGAATATTAGGTTAGGTTAGGTTTTGTTTTTTTTACGACCTAACGATTTTGGGTTAGGTTAGGTTAGGTTAAGATTTTATTGCACTCAAAGAATTATTAAATTTACTTTTAGTTAAAAGATAGTCATTCAGTAAAACAGTGAAGATTAAAAGATCTAACAGTATAGTATAATTGATTTATTTGATGAGCAAATTTAGTATTTATGGTGGTAATTTCGAACATTTTGATTGAAAAAAGCAGTATTTAATACCACCCATTCGGAAGTATCAGCCTAATCAAATTTCTTTTTTTAAATTAACTTGTAAATATGCTTTTTTGTAGCCTATTTGCAAAAGACTTTCAACCATCTAAGTGCAAGTCTAGTTAATTATAATATGCCACAAATAACACATGCTCTATATACGAATACTGTAGTGACCTGGAAACAAGCAGTATCATTCGGCATTACATTTAGGACGGCTCACCTTGCTAATAAACAGGATTAGAGCAGACATGCCACAACTTGTATTGATTCACTATAATTGACTACTTACCCGTATGAAGGTTCTACCGCTATATTTTGATGCCTACTTTTAACAGTTTATTATTTGTGGTAAAGTTTTTTTTACTTCTGGTTTGTTTCTGTATTTATTTAGATATATTTATATATATATTTATTTATTTATACTTTATTGCACACACAAAAATTGTAAACATTTCAATAGTAATTGGAGTACAATGGGCGGTCTTATCACACGCTTCATCATCTTATGTAGCGGTCTTATCATCTTATGTAGCTTAGATTTGCGACGTTTAATAATGAATCTGTACAAGGTATCACTCTTTCTTGTTGTTGGTATAATTTTGTTCTTTCCAATGTTCTATTCTTATATACTAAATTGCTGTTGCCCGCGACTTCATCTGCGTAAAATGATGACTTCTGGCAGAATTTAGGCTTTTTAAATTAGTTTTTATCAAGGGATATTCTACGGTAACAAATGTCGTCAAAATTGATTCAGTACCTAGGTAGGTATCATATACGGGGGACGACCCCTATACTAGTATAGGGGTCTAATATGTAGCCTCCAGCAGGTCGCTGCTACAGTTGACCTAAAAATCCAGGTATAGAGACTACTCTCTAATAAACATGAACCTTCTTAACTACGTTCTTCCAGCTAAATCAAGAATACCTAATACCTATGGCAAACAATTTTATGTCAAAGAAACCCATAGTAAACTATATAGAACAGTCTAAACAATAATATATTGCGACAGCCCTATTTCATTATATATTTTTTTCTTTAATATATATGTGACTAACAGCTGCATATTTTGTCCACAGATTAATAGACCAGTACATATCTCAGCCAGAGGTACTGGACATCAACTGTGTGGACCCTCTGAACAGATCAGCGCTCATAGCTGCCATCGAAAATGAGAACATTGAACTTATCAAACTACTGCTCATCTCTGGAATCAAAGTCAAGGTATGATATCTATTAGTATTATTATTTTATTATTATGTATGTCTTTACCATTCACGGGACCACAGGGTCCCGGTCATTTGGGAGGCGTACGAGGGACCGAAGCCAACTGCGCAGAGGCCCTTTAGACAACATTAATCTAACTGTAATGGACACACAAACCGGCGACTACCCCTGTATGCACTATGGAAATGCACCCAAGGACAGTCCCCGGTTAGTGTAGGACTATTGTGAATAATGAAAAAAAAAAGGTATAGCCCTACCTAAGGATGGGTTGCTATGGACTGGTAAATTGGGAACTATGGATGACTATGACACCTTCCGAAACAATGTAATTTTTACACGTAAAAATGGCAGGCGGAGACTCGCCAACTCACCGACCGGGCCCCGGGAATGGTTGCTAGATATAGCAACAGAGGGGCAACGAGAATGTGAGTGGCTGAAGGGTTAAGAAACTACCACCGCTTTCTACTCAGATCATCTGCTCCAGCCGAAGCCTCCTGCTTCCCTGGCCCACTCGCGACTTACGAATAGTTTCTTACCCTCCGAGCAGGTTCACTGCTCTCGCGACTCCACTCTGGACGGCCAATGAAGGCAAGCCAGAGGTGGGAGACCTGTTCCTTGTCATCTTTCACTCCAGCCAGCCAATTAAGGCAAGCCGGAGAAGAAGGAACGGTGACTTCTCCCTGGAGCACTCGGGATGATGGTAGCCCGCGGGATCGCTAATGCCCGTCACCTCGCCTCAAGGTGCCCTGGGGGCTTATTATTATTATTATTAACTATATTTATGCAAATTAAAGGTAGTATAAGTAGATAAAGCGTTAAAGAAGTATGAACTAAACAGACAAACTTACTTGCAATATGAACTGAGTTGCATACGCAAGGTTACGAAGCAAATATAATTTTATATATTTATCAATACATAACATAACATCACATCACACTTTTTTTCCCGAAGGGGTAGGCAGAGGTGTACGTTACGGCACTAAATGCCATTGTTATGAGTCTGCCGAGCAAGGGGTCTCGGGTTCGATTTCCGGGTTGGGTAAAGTACTACTGGGATTTTTAAAAATTCTCAGTAGTAGCAAGGAATCTGGAACTGTGCCCGGTATATGGCAATAGGTTCACCCCCTATTACATGGGACTCATAACATAAATAGTGAAAAGTGGGTGTTACATTGTACAATGGCATAATGTGCACCTCTGCCTACCGTTTTGGGGGTAAAAGGCGTGATGTTATTTTATGTTATGTTACTACATTCATTGATTCATAAAACAACATTATCTTTTCCGTGTCAGATGAACTATCAAAAAATAGGTCATAATTCCATTCTCCCTATATTTTCTTTGACACACTACATAAAATACTACAAGCTAAAAGCTATTTTGTTTCGTAAAAAATCGATAGTAAAGAAAAGCTGACTTCCCGAGGGAAATCAAGTCTCCCCAATAGTTTGCATGATCACATCGACAGTATATTTTCATAAAGGCCTCTAGGTAAGTTTAGTACGATACAAGAAAATATTACCTTAACGTCTTAGTTTATGGAATCGTTTCGAAAATAAGTTCAACTTTTGTGTAAAGCTACTTTTACTTATGCTCTAGAATAGCAAGCTAAAAAATGTACAAAAATCAAACGTCTGTCGCATCGCAAGCATGCCGGACGAAACAAAACGCAAGCGTTGTTTCACATCGGTTTTCTGTGAGGCTGTGGTATAACTCCGGTCGAGCCGGCCCATTCATGCCGAAGCATGGCTCTCCCACGCTTAAACTAACAGAATAATAAGCAACATAACACATCCTTCTTATTATCATAGTATTAAGAAATTCTTAATATTAATAGAAATCCGAGTACCAGCCCACACAAAACAATAAGCACATAGTACTTTAAAAAATATATAAGTACATATTTATGACTACAAGAAGAACAACTTTGAAGTAATGGTTCAAGGATCACTTTAACATTATACTTTATGGTTATTGCTAATAAAATACAAAATCCATTGAAAGCTTAATATGTGAATATAGTGTATATTATTGAATTTTTATACGATGCCGGTACTAGTAAAAACACTAAGCTTTGTTATGACTAGGTATATTATTACGGGTTTGCCTTCGTTTTTCTTCATTTGAGTTTCGGCCGAACGTAGATGATTCAATTGAAATGAAACATAATTTACCTTTTCGCTTCCTCGCCAAAATAGGTCAAATATGAAAAAAGTAAAAAATTTCTATTTTTGTTCATATTCTTCCCAGATTTGAGTTGTTTATAAGAAATATAGGAGAATGTCTTCGTATAAAGTAAGTAAAATATGCCAAACACTAATTTTCATGCAAATCGGAGAATATAGATTGAATTGATTATTCCTTATTCGGCGGCCTTTTGGCAGATTTTTAGTTGAACACTAGATTACTGTTTTCAAAATAACTTTTAAAGCGATATTTATAATGGTTGCTAAATTGCGAAAATGAAGTAAGTTATACTGAGATGGAAGATATACTTGTATTGTTTAATAAACAATGAGATAGCAAAGTGTGGGAGAGCCATGCTTCCATGTGATGAGCACGGCCTCACAGAAGACCGACGTGAAACAAGGTTTGCGTTGAGTTTCCTCATATGAGTAAGGTTACCGAGGCCCAATTATCCCCCTTCCCCTCCTTCTCCAATCCCTGAATCTAAAATTCCTAATCATATAAGGCCGGTAACGTACTTGTAACGGCTCTGGTGTTTCGAGTGTCCATGGGCGATGCCGATTCCCATCAGGTGATCCATTGACTCGGTTACCGGCTTATACCATAAAAAACAAATAAATATACATAAATAAGTCTTTATTCTTCAGCTTATAGATAATATTGTCCTTACTAGGATATCTAAAAAACAGTAAAACATTTTACTTTTACATTACTAACACCCAAAATAAATAAATATATGCTACCAACTAAACTTTAACTAAAAATTACGATTTACTAACGTAAATATACTGAGAAAAGCTCGACTAGTTTCGAGTACTATAGTAGACGCAAGGAAGAGTCCCTCTGTGACACGAAACTAGTAGAGCTTTCCTCGATATATTTACGTAATTAAACCGTTTTTATAGTTAAGTCAGAATGTCTCACGAGCTATTATAAAACAATATCACATTATGTTCAACTCAGGAATCAAATTGAGCATCTTATACTCAATAACACATTGTACTAATATATAGACCAATAACGAAGCGATACACAAATACTGCTACACTCTAAAATAATGCTATCAACATAAATAGGTTAAGTATGTTACCGGCCCGTGTGGAACACATATACTACACCTATGTACTATGAAGTAACTAATCATATTTCATAACTCCGTACACGAAGGTAGAATATTACTTTAAACATTTGTTTTTAAATACTGCCTCGTTGGCCGAGTGGTCGCAAGTGCGACTGCCAGACGAGGACTCGGGTTCGATTCCCGAGTCGGACTAAGTAATACTGGTTTTTTTTTCCATAAAATCTCAGTAGTAGCACGGAGTCTGGAATTGCGCCCAGTATATGGCAATAGGCTCACCTCCTATTAAATGGGACTCATAACATAAATAGTGATAAGTGGGTGTTACATTGTACAGTGGCATTAAGTGCCGTAATGTGCACCTCTGTTTACACCTTCGGGGATAAAGGGCGTGACGTCATATTATGTGTTCCTGGACGGGATCGGAAAACATCGACGTGTTTTAATGCTTTTTCGGTTAGAGTAAAATAGGCTCGAAGCAAATTATTTGAAGAACATAAAATTTCCTTAAAATTTTCGTTGTCTACATCATATTTTACGGAGCCGCGGAAAACTTAACGGGTTGCTGGGGCTCCGGCTCGAAAAGCAGAAGTAGGAACAGGGAGGTTTTTAGTCAGTAAGAGTCTGATACTCCCTCTCGCTTCACCCGGGCGGGAGAAGTTATTGAATGATTGTCCCCCCCCCCTCAAAAAAACTTACATATTTTGATGTAACTAGTCCATATTACAGTCATCTTGAAATCTCAGACTCATATTTTGAAAACGAAAGAGGTATGTAGGAATTGTAGTAATTGGCGTTCCATAGTCTTTGCCTATTATCCCAATGGGAGACAGGCGTGCAGTTATGTATGTATCTATGTTTTGAAAATGTATAAACATTTATAAGCAATCACGTGTGTCAGAGATGCGGTAATATCAATATGATTGATTCCAGCAGACGGTTTTACGATGAAACCATTTATGAGTTTACTTAAATCATTGCCGGTCGTGCAAAAACTTAAATAAATCGATAAACACCGAATAGTTTTCATGTTTAAGAAACGTATCAAAACAACTTGGATATTGCTTTTACTGAAGATGTAGGTAGATGATTACAGCCACTATGGTAAATCAGGTGATTGCAAGCATGACTGCCGAGTTACTGAACACTGTTCAGAGTGCCAAGCACGAATAACTATCGCATTCGTAACGTAATAGTATCGAGCGCGTTCGGCGCTCTGATTAGCCGGCTCAAGTGAACCAACCAATCAGAACTCGCTCGGTACTGTTACGATCCGAATGCGATAGTTATTCGTGCTTGGCACTCAGTTTCACTCTTGAGAAAACGACCACAGCGTTGTGCCTAAGACAGAGGACATTTCTTTTTAAAAGGATGCTTTGCAATACAATACCATTTACAACAAATACTTTGCCCAACTTGAATATAATGTAAATATAAGTATAACATAACATCACGCCTTTTAGTCCCGAAGGGGTAGGCAGAGTTGCACATTACGGCATTTAATGCCACTGGCCACTATACAATGTAACACCCACTTTTCACTATTTATGTTATGAGTCCCTTGTAATATGGGGTGAGCCTATTGCCATATACCGGGCACATTTCCAGACTCCGTGCTACTACTGAGATTTTTAAAAACCCACTCGGCCAACAAGGCAGTCAATATAATCAACGTTTGTAAAATGTTAATGAAAAGTTTTCAGTCAGTTGAGGTGCCTCACCGGGAGCATTCACGTGTAATGTAACATTATAGATTCGACTTTGAGCATTACATTACAATAATACCTCCCTGACTAACGAGCATTTGCGTGTAATGTAACATATAGATTCGACTTTGAGCATTTCATAACAAGATGTCAGAATTGATGTTACAAGTTGTATCAAGATATTATACATTGTATCATTACAAGGTGCGCATTGTAATGCTCGGTTCTCCTCCTTCACTGATGTAATGCTCAGATCTGTAACGTTACATTACACACGAATGCTCCCTGTGAGGTTTTAAGTTATTAGTAGGTACTCATAATTTTTTTGTGTATAATTTTTCACAAATATTTTGAAGTTTTGCCGTAGTACAGAATTAACTTTAAAGAAAATTCTATATACCTACATTGGATTTATCATCTGTCCCCAGGACGCTCTTCTACACGCCATCAAAGAAGAGTACGTGGAAGCTGTGGAGTTACTTCTGCAATGGGAAGAAGACAATCATGTTCCGGGAGAACCTTACGTAAGTAATTTAACTAACTAGTTAATTAGTAATAAGCCATTATGATATAGAGAATGAAGTATTTCAGCATCCAGTCTTGGGAAGACTGGGGAGGGACTGGGGTCCCCGAATCCCTCACGATCCTCAAATTCCTAATTTCCAAAAGGCATTTGTAACGCCTCTGGTGTTCCAGGTGTCGACGCTGATGGCTTACCATCAGGTGATCCGTCTGCACGTTTACCTGCTTAATATGCCATAAAAACGATACTTTCTGCCAATTACCTACCTACCGAAATATAATAAATGTGGGAGAGCCAAGCTTCGGCGTGAATGGGCCGGCTCGACCGGAGTGATACCACGGCCTCACAGAAAACCGACGTGAAGCAACGCTTGCGTTGTGTTTTGTCGTGTGAGTGAGGATACCGGAGGCCCAATTACCCTCTCCTTCCCCAATCTCCCCAATTCCTAAATCCCCAACGATCCTCAAACTCCTAATCCCCAAAAGGCCGGTAACGCCCTTGTGACGCCTCTGGTGTTCCAGGTGTCCATGAGCGACGCCGATTGCTTACCATCAGGTGATCCGTCTGCTCGTTTACCGGCTTATGCCATAAAAAAGACAATAATATAATGCAACGCAACACCTAAATTTCACCAGTTACGTATGTGTGAGGAGGAGACAAGCGTTCAAACATAGTGTTGGCAGAATTCGAAAAACTGAAAACCCCAAAAATATTTATCTATACCTAAGAGTATAGATAAAATAAGAATTATGGTCATAGTTTCGTGCTTATTTAGCATCTCTATCAAGGATACCAATGAAATATTTATCCCAACACATAATTAATGGTTCCACCTTACAATATTAATGGCGGCCCACAGTGTCACATGAGCATAACTTGTCACAACACTGCCATATTTTGTAAGTGCGAGATAAAGGTCATTGACCCTTTGTGACGTCAACTCGTTTGGAGAAGGTCAATGGCTTCAGAATAGATATAGGGTGTTAGTATTTATTAATGGGATGATTAAATTATTGTTAGTTATACAATGACGTAGTATTAAAACGTAGTAAAACGCCTGTTATTCCCTCATGGGTTAGATCAAGTGCTAGGTTAACTAAAGGCATACATTTAAAAATGTTAATGCACGTCAGGTTCACAAAATGAAATGAAAAAGGGGATAACAACCACTACTAAGATAATCTTCTAAATCCAACACATCTACTCAACAATTCTAACATACATAACATCACGCCTTTTATCCCCGAAGGGGTAGGCAGAGGTGCACATTACGACACTTTACACTTTTTTGTTATGAGGACCTTGTAAATAGAGGGTGAGCCTATTGGCATATAGCGGAAAGAATTCTAGACTTCGTGCTACTAACTTTTTTTAAAACCTAGTAATACTTTGCCCAACCCGGAAATCCTGAGACCCCTTACCCGGTAATCGCACTTGCGACTACTCGGCCAATGAGGCTGTCAACTCATCAATTTTCTCATCTTTTATTAAAACCTTACATAAAATTGGAAACTGAATAACGTCCTTGTTTTCTACCAGAGCTGGGAGTCCGTAGATCCATCATCAGCGACCTTCACCCCGGACATCACGCCTCTGATCCTGGCTGCCCACAGGAATCACTACGAGATCCTCAAGATCCTGCTGGACAGAGGAGCCACGTTGCCAGTGCCACACGACGTCAAGTAGGTAGAGTACTTCATCAAGATTTCATTTACCCATTACTCACTCATAATTATCCACTGATGTATCTTTTTTAACCGCTTAGCCATGTCACATCACATAAACAGCCTATAAGTAGCCAACACTGCTGACCAAAGGCCTCTTCTCACACGGAGAAGCTTTAAGCATTAATCACCATAGTTTCTCAATGCCGATTGGGCATTTCAAACTTATAATTAGAAACTTTAAGCCCTGGTTTCCTCACGATGTTTTCGTTCACCGTTTGTCAGTGGTGTCTAGATAATCTTAGAAATTACATATAACTCGGAAGAAGTCACATTGGTACTTATCGTTGGTAAGTTCCAAACCCGCGCCCTCATGCATGAAAAAAGGGCTTCTTAAACCTCCGGGCCACCACGACATGTGGTGGCAGCAAAATAAGAGACGGGGGGGTCTTAATAGTGCCATAAAAACTAACTAAAAGATACCTTGAAAATGAACAGGGTACTTAGCGCTCTCTGATAAACCTGAACCTATTGAACTGCAATTTCCAGTGTAAAACCCACTAAGGGAATTGTGGCAAATCCTAATTACTACCGTGATAATATGTAGAGTTTTGAGTAACGATTTTCCTGACAAAATCTTTATCACGATCTGTACATTTAAAACTAACTTAATCCATTTTCTCCTATGCAGATGCGGTTGTGATGAATGTGTAAAGTCTTCTCAAGAGGATTCACTCCGTCACTCTCAAGCCCGCATCAACGCGTACAGGGCACTCTCATCTCCCTCTCTGATCGCTCTCTCTTCTGCCGATCCTCTCTTAACAGCTTTCCAGCTGTCCTGGGAACTAGGTAGACTGAGCAGAATGGAGACAGAGTTCAGAGTGGAGTATAAGGTAAGGAATTTAAAGAAGATTACTTTAGGTGATAATTTAAGGGCAGTGACAATAAATTCAGTTGTTAATTCAGCTGTATGCAAAGAATAAAATGCAGGTGAAGTTGTCGTTGATTACTTGTTAAACATTTGTTCTTGAAAGTTAATTTGTAATGAATTCTTCTACATAAGTGTCCCTGTTCCCAGGCTCTACGCCAACAATGCCAAGAGTTCGCCACCTCCTTACTGGACCACACAAGAACTTCCAAAGAGCTGGAGATCATGCTGAACTACAACCCCTGGGATATCGACTGCTGGGAACCTGGCGAGAGACAAACCCTCGGCAGGTTGAAACTGGCTATCAAGTACAAGCAGAAAATGGTGAGAAGTGTTATAAGTGCGGTTAATGTAGTGGTTAAGCTTCATAGGACCCCGAGACAAAGAAGCAGACGGATCACCTAATGGTAAGCCATGAGCGCCACCTATCACCAGAAGAGTTAAATACGATTGCTGATTGGAAAGTGGTCGCATTTGTCACGCTATCTTTTCATGATTTTTTAAGACTGTCTGGCATTGATAATCTAATTAGTGTGTCTGTGTATTATACATATATAAGTGTTATCATCCGGGTTATGTCTTATTGGTTAATTTAATTAAAGACTTAATAAAAATACATAACTATGTTTCACACTATTGTTGGTTTGCTACTAAGCCAATGATTGGTTACAAAAAATATAACTTCGAAAAAACAAAACTCAAAATCATTAATTTAAATAGACCAGGAAGGCACATTTAAAACGAAACATTTAAAAGTGAATCTATTTGCTCATTCCTAAGTATAGATTCCTATGGAGAAGAACGAGCAAGAAACTCCATAGGTTACCCTTTTTCAATCAGATTCATAATAAATTCTTTAGTTACGTGTTTGAATTCCTATAATTTTATATACTATGCCAAATAACTTGGCTAACTACACCATTAGTACATCAATAATAAAACCTATTTCTTTTGATACGAAACTGTAATAATATGTTTCCAATCTGGACGAACATACACCGTAACCTCAAATTATTGGCTTTTAACAAGATATCCAGGAAGAGATTCCAAAATTATTGCATTTGCGTCATGCCATGCGGTCAATCTATTTTACTCCTGTGGCAAGATGGCGCTGATTGAGTAAACTAAAATTTTATAGGTTATTCGAACTCTAGTTTAGTGGTATCATTTTAAAGATAACTAGTCTTGTTTTTATAATTACTATCGTGAGACATACTAAATTAAGTAAAATCGCGGGTTACTCACGTGAATATACTGAGCAAAGCTCTACTAGTTTCGAACCACAGAGGGGTTCTTCTTCATGAGCAGCGTACGCGATCGCGGCGACCTCGCGCAGCTCATGAGGAAGAACCCCTCTGTAGTTCGAAACTAGTGGAGCTTTTCTCAGTATATTCACGTGAGTAACCCGCGATTTTACTTAACAACTGGTCTTTTTTAGTTTTAATGTCAATTCAACTTTAATTTGCCAAAGGAATAGCTAGAAGTGTTCATTATTTTTACCCGCTTTTAAAAGAAGGTGAAGGTTCTTAGTTTGTTATATACTTACACTAGCTTTTACCCGCAGCTTCGCTCGCGTCACAAAAGGATAAAAAATGCCTATGTGGCATATGCCAATACACACAGCGCCATCTATGCCAATACTTTTGTTTTCCCTCGGGAATATCAAATTTTTCCGGGATAAAAAGGACCCTATTATTTAATCCAGACTTCTAACTTTACCTCTGCAAAATTTCAAAGCAATCGGTTCAGTAGTTACGTAGTGAAAGCGGAACAAACAAACAAACAAACAAACTCACTTTCCGATTTATAATATTATATATATATATATATAATATTATATATAAGGAAATAAGGATAAGGATTTAGATTACCAGTTAGATTACCCTGACTCCTGACCTAAGTTAAGCAATCATGCTAAGCTAAAAATGATTGAGACAAAATTAGGTTTTTTATATCAAAGTTATAGACCTGGCAGTAAAAGGCCCAAACCTTGAAAAAACGTTACTAAGTTAACCAAGTTACAAGAAATATTCTTACTGGGACGTAAACTACGGTTACACAAAATCCGATAACAGGACCGACTTTTATTTCTTACCTATGTTGGGTTCTGCACTGAAAAGAAGCTGATATCTCCCAACTGCCAAATGTGAACTTAAAATAGACACCTTGGTCTCTGACCCTTAATTGACTCTTCCCCCTGTGGAAAGATCAGAGGTCAGAGGTCTGCGTGCACCTAATAATAAAATTATGGACTTTCTTAAAATAGTTAATTCTGAGTAGTAGCACGGAGTCTGGAATTGTGCCCGGTATATGGCAATAGGCTCACCTTCTATTACATGGGACTCGTAACACAAGTAGTGAAAAGTGGGTCTTACATTGTACAGTGGCATTACGTGCCGTAATATGCCTGCCCCTTCGAGGATAAAAGGCGTGATGTTGTGTTATGCTAAAATAGTTATTTTTATCTGGTAATGGACTCAATTTTAACTAGATATATAGATTTTTATAAATGACAGATTTCTTTTAAATACGGATTCTTTTACTTTCACGTTCAATCCGTTCTTGACCAATTTAATGTAGGTACATTTTTCTTACTAAATCCAGTATATGGTACTTTTATAATCCCGACGTAAAAACAAACATGAATACTCATGTTTTATGACCTCTCAACGTTTTCTTAGGGACAAGTTTTACGTACTTATATGCAAACATACATTATATAGGTATGTTTACCTACATACACTTTAACTTAGGCTGAAAATAAGGGTAGGTATCTTATCTTATTTAGATCTTAGTCAAGGTGAAGACCGTAATCAAAACACGTACATCTTGTTTCTTAGCGTGTGTTCCTACTAAATGTTTTTTTTCTTTATTTAATTTTCAACATAATGTCATGCATTTCAATCTTTGAAGGGATTGGCACATATTTGCAGTTTTATATCATGGTATGTATGTACTAGCTTTTACCCGCGACTTCGCTCGCGTCACAAAAGGACAAAAAGTAGCCTATGTGACATATAACAACAATAGCGCCATCTATAACAATACTTTTGTTATCACTCGGGAATATCAAATTTTTCCGGGATAAAAATTACCCTATTATTTAATTCGGACTTCTAACTTTACGTCTGCAAAAATTCAAAGCAGTCGGTTTAGTAGTTACGGCGTGAAAGTGGAACGAACAAACAAACAAACTCACTTTCCGATTTATAATATTAGTAAGGCTGTATAACACTAATTTTTACCACTGTCTCGTTGCCCTAATGGTGTGCGACTGGCGGGCAAGGGGCTTCGATTCCCGGGTTGTGCAAAGTATTACTGGGTATTTTTTAATTCTCAGTTATTCTCAGTCAGTAATTTTTAGGCTCACCCCTTATTACATGGGAGTCGTAATAAAAATAGTGAAAAATGGGTGTTACAATATACAGTGGCGTTGGTAATGAGCACCTTTGTTTACCCATTCAAGGATAAAAGGCGTGATGTTATGTAATTTTCATCAGTTATTTTATACGAGTTACATCAATTTCATTCATCATCGGCCCGTTATCAACCACTGCTGACCATTGACATTATAGAGGTACAATAGCAATATTTTTTTACTTTTAGCTAATAACTACCAACTGCCAGCTACCATGTGGATATCAGTATGTAGGATTACACTCGGCCAAAGAGTATTAAAAAAAAATACTTCTCAAAAATATTATTTTCTCGTAAGTACATGTATTTCCATCCATTACCTTCATCTGTTTCATTTGAAAATAATCTTAATGCGACCACTCACCGCATTTCCGTTCGTTTCAAAGCGAAAATATTAAAAAAAGAAAGGAAACATCGATTTAAAATAAACTGTGACGTCACGGTATACCGTCACATCTTGCGAACATGTAACTTTTGAATGTTTGAATCTTTTGATCTGAATAAATATTGATTCTGTGCTACATATTTTTGGTCTTTCTTAAGTCTTATGCTTATATTATATAAACAGTTCGGTGACGGCAGAATAGAGTACATTTGTCATCATCCGATTCGATTCCCGGGTCGGGCAAAGTATTACTGGGTTTTAAAAAAAATCTTAGTAGTATCACGGATTCTGGAATTGTGCCCGGTATATGGCAATAGGCTCACCCCCTATTACATGGGACTCATAACATAAATAATGAAAAGTGGGTGTTACATTATACAGTGGCATAATGTGCACCTCCTTCCCTTCGGGGATAAAAGGCGTGATGTTATGTTAATATTATGTCATCATCCCTATTCTGGTCGCGGGTATCCTGAGAATCGATTAACAGAGACCGGGCACCAGCGCTTTCTGGTAAACCTGATCTTTTTAAATGATCTTCTACCAGCCTGCCAATCGTCGAGATTTATGGTAAACCCTCATATTTAGGAGAAGCTCAGAGTGTTGTAATGGAAGGGGACTGTTTATGTGCTAGTGACGGTAGAAGTAGACCGCTGGCATACACAGTTCTGCTTCCAACCTAACCCATAATAGGGATGACGACAGGGTATGAAAATTAAAAATCTATTTAGTCCGTCAGTTAGATTGAAAAAATATTCAACACGTATTTTTTTAGTTTTATTGTATAATACAATAATACTTAGATAAAGTTTAGGAGTGGGGGCTAAAACGTTATTTCTACGTATAAAATGTACATAGAAGTAACGTCACGCGACATTTCAAATCAATATATCGTCGAAAGTATTCGTTTCTGTAAGAAAATAAAAAATACGTGTGTACTGTTTTACAATAATCTACTAGACGGACATCAAAATAAAAATTCATCATCTACCCTATCATCTACCCTATTGGTTGTGTTCTCTATAATGTCCCAGAATTGGATAGAAAATATTAGCTTTTTGTGGTGGAGCAAAATTCCAATCATATAGTATATTATTTTCATTAGTAGTTAGCAACATTTAGTAAAAATCCACCTTTAACAATAAATCACACAAAAACCAATACATATACTACAAATCAATCGTCAAAATACTTTCCTAACTGTGTTCTTAACAGCTAAAAACCCCACTAAAACTCTCATCTGTAGCACTAACAAGTATCGAGTGAATTAATGGTTTATTTACAAAGTTCCCTCCTTTCATCTGCCACCTGTCCCGGTAGTCTAAACAATTTATATAGCTCGTCTGAATTAGTTTAGTGTAGGTACAATCTGTAATTGTGTGCATGAAGGGACATGTCTATATGTTTGTTTTTAGATAGCAGAAAAAAATATTAAATTTATAGAATAACAAGCTGACCCGGCAAACTTTGTACCGCCTAAAATGTTTTCTCGCCTTTTAAACCTTCCCTGGACTTCCAATAACGTTTCAAAACGAAGACGAAGTTCTTGCAAAAACCCAGTAATACTTTGCCTGACCCGGGAATCTAACCCGGCAGTAGCACTTGCGACCACTCGGCCAATGAGGCAGTCTATCTATGTGTATCATAATTTATGAAATATCATCCCCTAAATTTGTTCATACACAAGCGGTTACGGGTGACCGCTTGGGGATAAATGGGTGGTATATATTGACAATATTTAATATTGACGTGAATGACTCATTGCATTTTATTATCTGTGACCCTTCCTTGGTTTTATTGATGCATTCAATTAATTACTAAATATCTAAGGAAAAACTAAAAATAACTATTTACACAGAGCAACGAAAAATTCGTCCGCATCGACGTCAATGGGGAATTAATTAAAGTGTATTAATTTTATTCCCAGTTCGTAGCGCATCCAAACGTCCAGCAGTTACTCGGAGCTATATGGTATGAAGGTCTACCAGGGTTTAAGAGAAAAAACATCGTGGGACAATGTATACAGGTAAGATACCTACTGAATTTTTTATTTGTATAGGACAAATCGTCTATTTCTATCTAGTTAGGTATTTGTTATTTTAATATTCGAGTCAAAGTCAAAGCATTTATTTCAATTAAACCATAATTTAGTACTTTTGAAACATCAACAAATACAAAATAAATAAGGTCTGTTAGTCAGTCCGTCAGTGGAGCTAGGTGATGCTAGGTGCTCATTCCAAAATATAGAGGTAGATTCAAATGGAGAAGAACGAGCGAGAAACTCCATTCGTTACTATTTTTTTTAAAAGTATGTTCTACAATGTCTCTAATACATATTCCAATACTGTACGTATATGTGAGAACAATGCTAAGACACGCTTGACGCATTATACTAATTACAAAACTTACTAAAATAAAAAATACATAAAAAATGCGACTAATTCAAGTTGTACTTAATGAAGCTAAAATATCTCTGAAATAGGTAAAATATTTAACATATTTGTCAGCATGATAATAAAATTGAGTAAACATTTCAGTGGTTGGACGTTAACATGGCAAAACATTCGCTTCTCAGTACGTTGGACTAAAGAAATTTCGATCTTCTAACTTCTAACCAAGCGTGTACCACTGAAGAATTCTGTAATAAAATTAATTTCCGTGTCCAACAAGTGTTCTCTAACTTTAGACACACTAATGATGAAAATTCTATCCTATAACATTATGACGTGTGGGAGAGCCATGCTTCGGTACGAATGGGCCAGCTCGACCGGAGTGATACCACGGCCTCGCAGATAACCGACGTGAAGAAACGCTCGCGTTGTGTTCCGTCGTGTGAGTGAAGTTACCGGAGGCCCAATTACCCTGCTCCCCCTTCCCCAATCTCCCCAATCCCTGAATTCCTAACAATCCTCAAAAGGCCGGTAACGCTCTTGTAATGCCTCTGGTGTTTCAGGTGTCCATGGGCGACGCCGATGGCTTACCATCAGGTGATAAGTCAGCTCGTTTACCGGCTTATCCCAGAAAAAAATAACAAGCAACATGCGTTTTCAATTACATAAATGAAAGATCGGACAAAAACAGTGATGCATTTCTGCCAACCCCTTCTAAGATCAAGATTTTTATATTACTATCATTGTTCAGGTGGCCAAACTCGGCGTGATGTTTCCAGTATACTGCACCATCTACATGTTGGCACCAAACTCAGAGTACGGTCGGTTTATGAAGAAACCGTTCGTCAAGTTTATCTGTCATAGCTCTTCTTATATGCTGTTTTTGAGTAAGTATATAATATAATCTATATATGTATAAAAGATTACCTCTTTCCCATAGTCAATTTTATTTTGATTAGTTAGATTTAAAAATAATTATTGTTTAAATTGTATTGCAGATTACATAACATAACTTCACGCGTTTTAAGAGTAGGTAGGCAGAGATGCACATTACATCCACTGTACAATGTAAAACCCACTTTTCACTATTAATTTATGAGTCCCATGTAATATGGGGTGAGCCTATTGTCATATACCGGGCACATTTCCAGACTCAGTGCTACTACAGAATTTTTTTTTAAAAACCTACGGATACCTTGCTCGACCCGGAAATCGAACCCGAAACCCCTGGCCCGGCAGTCGCACTTGCGACCACTCGGCCAACGAGGCAGGCAGTATTACGGATTAGATTTCATTTAGATAAATTAGGTCACATTTTCTGTAATGGCACTAAGTTTAAAATTGCATGCGATGTTTTACAGTAAAGAGGCATTAGTGTGACCTATTTACAAAATAAAATACCTTTTTTGTTAAGGATAACGATAAAAAAGGCTTTCTGGTACCTAGTAAGATTAACGTTGACATCTGGCTTTGCTTATCTAAATAGGTTGATACAAATGTGTGTGTATATGTATCAAATGTTAAAATGGGGCATTTTTCTGTAATAGGATAGTTACCTAAATTTTATTTTAATGTCCGTCTGGTACATTAATTTAAAACTTTAGACACGTATTTTTTCTTTTCTCACAAAATTAAATATTTTCGACGATATATTAATTTGAAATATCGTGTGACGTCACAGCGTGTCCGTTTACAAAATGCACGTTATGACGTAACGACCTCCCACTGCTATACTTAGCGTCATTTTATCTAAGTATTGCAACTTAATACGAGAAAATAAAAAAATAAGTGTCTAATATTTTTTCGTTATCTAACTGACGGACTAATTAGATTATTAATTTTCATACCCTGGAAACTTCCCAATTGGTCGGATGTTGTAGAAAACATGTTATACGGGTTACCGGTTACCGGAGCTCCGGCTCGATGTGCAAGAGAAGGAACGGTGTGGTTTTTAGTCAGTAGGAGTCTGACACTCCCTCCCGCCTCACCCAGGCGGGAGCAGTTATTCGATGACTTTCCCCCCTTAAAAAAAATACCTTTCTTTTACACATCGAACCGGACATTTCTGCAACATGTTATGTTTTTTTATTGTGTGTTTGTAAGAGAATTTGCATTTATTACCGAACTCAAAAACTAGAAAAAAGAAAATGACCATACTATAAAATATGAACGTAGGCATCTACGTTAGATAGCGTGGAGTCAGAACGGCAATAGACACTTGGCTCACTCCCAAATTCACGGAAAGTAAAAGGTAATAACAAACAGAATGGGGTAGACGACTAATTTTTATTTTAATGTCCGTCTGGTAGATTATTTAAAAACATTAGACACGTATTTTTTCTTTTCTCACAGAAACGAATAGTTTCGAAGATATATTGATTTGAAATGTCGCGTGACGTCACTTCTCAGTACATTTTATACTAAGAAATGACGTTTTAGCCCCCACTCCTAAACTTTGATTCGTTTTATCTAAGTATTGTTTTATTATACGACAAAATAAAAAAATACGTGTCTAATATTTTTTCATTACCTAACTTACGGACTAATTATATTTTTAATTTTCATACCCTGTCATCATCCCCATTGATAATAGGCATGGTTTATGGTATGGATTCTATTCTCGATTAGAATATAAAGCACTCTTAGAGCCATATTTCCCCGAGACACCATGGCAGCGTAACTAGCCGCCGCTACCAACAAAGCTGGTTGCGCATTCAACCGGACACCAGCAGCTGTAGCACTTGTCTACATGTAGAATAGAAAACCAAATTATATGGAATTGACGTAAATTTTGACACTTCTCAGTGTCATCCCCATACATTTAGTTTTCTACTCTCTCTGTAGACACGCGCTAACGTGGCGTTTGGCTAAAGGCACAGATGAGATAATTCTCTATAGAGTTGTATACATTTTGTTGGAAGCGGCGACTAGTTGCGCCGCCATAGTGTTCCGGTAAAATATAGCGCTTAAGTAATCAACTTTTTGTTTTAAGACCTTCTCTTACTCCCCCTTAATACTCTTATATTCAATTAATTAATATGTATTAATACGAACTGCCTATATCTCATTTCTACCCTTACAGCTCTTCTATCACTAGCATCTCAGCGAGCAGACTACCTGGTGTTAGAATGGTCAGGAATAACCTGGCTCCAGGAGCTGGTGGACCATTGGAAGGAGAGGGAGCGAGGCTCCTTGCCCAGCATCATAGAATTCAGCGTCATCATCTACATAGCAAGTAAATTTGCGTTTGTTAGCATGCTTTTTTCTATTTACTGTTTTTTTGTAATCTGGTGTTCTTTGTGTCGCTGCTTTGGTATTAGTTTTAGGGATATGTGATAATGGAGGGTTTGGCCATTTGATTTTAATTTCAATAGGACAATCATGACGAGTGATATTTCAATGTTTGCACTGATGTGCTGATGTGTATGTGTAATGGCTGTTCGTTCTTTTTCTTACTACATCAACGGCCTATAAGTGGCCACTGCCGACCAAAGGCATCTTCTCACATGGAGAAGGTTTGAGCATTAATCGTATGCTTGCTCAATGCGGCAATTTTAAACTTATAATTAGAAATTATAAGATCCTCACGATGTTTTCCTTCACCGTTTGTCAATAGTGTCTTTAAATAATCTTTAAAAGTATATATAACTCGGAAACAGTCGCATTGGTACTTGCTGTTGGTAGGTTCGAATCAGCACCCTCATTCATGAGAAGCGGGCGTCTTACGGTCTTACAATTGTGTATATTTTTTAGTAATTGTGTATATTCTACATTCATTTTGTCACATTTACAATTTTTATGAATGTCTTTCTTAAATACTTCACATAATTTCTGTAATTTTGTTAATTTTCTCTTATTTCACATTCTTTTTTAAACTCGCTTTATTTCCTTTTACCTTAATAATACCTAAATGAAATACAACTGGATAAACGTTAACTCGAAAAACATATATGTGGCAAAACCAAGAAACATATTGGTACCAACAGAAACTAACATTATACCGTTTCCAGGTTTAATCTGGGCAGAAATAAGATCACTATGGACTGGCGGTATCACAGAGTACATCAGTGATCTCTGGAACATTGTGGACTTCATCACAAACGCTTTCTACATCGCCTGGATCAGCTTGCGATTTTCTTCTTGGTATATTGTCCAGGTAGGTTAATGATGTATTGTGTATTGTAGGTATGTTAATCCAGAATTTTAACTGGTATATAAAGTAATGAAGAAGATACTTTTTTTAACGTGTGGAAATCCTCATGGATACCCTTTGTCTAGACAATGAGCGTCAGGCAGCCGGTTATGTCGGACTCTTACCGACTAAAACCCACACACTCAATCCCAGAAAACAATGAGAGAGTCACTGGGTACTCGAATGAATGAACTCACCTGCGATGAAGAAGATACCTAAGATTCTCCTACCCGGCTTAACGACAGTTTATTCGACAACGATAGTTTCTGATGTAAAAAGATTTTTAGTGATTTAAGTTAGCCATCTTCAATTGGATAATAATCTTCGCAGAAAGAATTTGAATAATTTATAAATCCCAAATTTCTTTATCAACAGCGAGACTACAACTCAGGAACAGACCCTTGGTATCCTCGAGAGAGATGGGATTCCTATGACCCCATGTTGCTCTCAGAGGGAGCCTTCGCAGCCGGCATGATATTTTCCTTCCTCAAGCTGGTCCATATCTTCTCCATCAACCCTTATCTTGGACCCCTTCAGGTCTCCCTCGGACGAATGATCCTGGATATCTTGAAATTCTTTTTTGTGTACATGCTGGTGTTATTTGCTTTTGGATGTGGTGAGTAGAAAATAGTTTTATTTACTTCTATTAATGTTTTAAGTATTTCTTTTTCTTATTGACAACTTTTCATTTATACAAGGTCTAAAACGATGGCCTTATGTAGGAAATGATCGATGAAAGTCCTTGAGACTAATGCCAAGTACAGATACATAACATCACGCCTTTTATCCCCGAAGGGGTAGGCAGATGTGCACAATATGCCACTGTACAATGTAACACTCACTTTTCATTATTTATGTTATGAGTCACATGGGGCACAATTCCATACTCCGTGCTACTACTGAGATTTTTTTTAATAAATCCCAGTAATACTTTGCCCGACCTAGCTTCACCTAACTTCACTGACGGACTGACTGACACACTATTATTTATTTTGTATTTGTTGACGTTTCAAAAGTACCAAATTATGGTTTAATTGAAATAAATGTTTTGACTTTGACTTTGACCCAGGAATCGAACCCGAGACCCCTTGTCGCAGTGGCACTTGCGACCAGTCGCCCAACGAGGCAGTCGCATATTTTAAACATACCTAATCATCATCATCATCAGCCTGTATTCGTCCACTGCTGGACATAGGCCTCTCCTATTAACATACCTAATGTTAATTCAAAATTATTAACATTAAATATCAATCTTATTGTATTTTCTTGGTACAGGTTTAAATCAACTCATGTGGTATTATGCTGAACTAGAGAAGAACAAATGCTACCATCTGCCCAATGGAATCCCTGACTTCGACGGTCAAGAACGAGCCTGCACTATTTGGAGACGATATGCTAAGTAAGAGACATATTTTTAGTTATTTTTGCATAAAAATAAAGCACCGTCTATGGCATCAGATTTCAACATGACGGGTAAAGATGAACTTATTCGACAATTGAAGTTGATACATACATACATAACCTCACGCCTGTCTTCAATAGGTTGTTTTTTGTGGGGGAAAGTCATCAAATGACTTCTCCCGCCTAGGAGAGGCGGGAGGGAGTGTCAGACTCCCACCCCGTTACTACTCCTGCGCTTCGAGCCGGAACCCCGGCAACCCGTTAAGTTCTCCGCGGCAATCTATGGAACGCCAGTTGCTACGATTCTTACAAACCTCTTTTGCTTCATAAGGCAAGATCGATTTGTTAGGAGTGAGCGAGACGAAAAGAAAGGATTGCATGGCTACCACCCATGGCCAATATGTTGCTTAATGGTCTGGTGTTGCAAGTTTAACAGATACCATAATAAACTCACTTTCTTCACTGAAGACTTCAAGATTGCCAAATAAATATAGCACACACAGCCACTCTTTGCCAATTATGTTATTGAATTCACAGCTTACCTACCTTCAGATGAGATAGTAGCTAAACACCGGCAAAAACTTACTATAAAACATGAACTTGAAAAGTAACATTTTTTTAAGAGAGGAAAATCATCGAATGACTGCTACCGCCCGGGTGAGGCGGGAGGGAGTGTCATACTCTGCTGCACGTCGAGCCGGAGCCCCGGTTACCCGTTAGGTTCTACGCGACAGAAAAAAAAAACATTTAAATACCAATTTTCTTTCCAGTCTATTTGAAACCTCCCAGTCTCTATTTTGGGCGTCTTTCGGTCTAGTAGACCTGACCACCTTCGAGCTGACAGGCATCAAGAGCTTTACCAGGTTCTGGGCACTCCTGACCTTCGGGTCATACTCCGTGATCAACATCATCGTACTCCTGAACATGCTGATTGCTATGATGTCCAACTCTTATCAAATTATTTCGGTAAGTGGCGTTAGTGCGTAACAGAAAGATTTATTTGTTTGTGGATTAAAACTACAGAACCGATTTTAAAAAGTCACTTTTTAGATCTATAGTAAGAGTATTATATCCTTTTTTATTCTGACATTCCTGTATTTTAATTATAAAAATAGTTTCTGTTCTATAGTTTCACGAGTATGACAGCTTAAAAATATAAAGTTTCGAAAATTTTAATAACTGCATTATTGAGTTCTGTCTTTTATTTCCAAATACCTTGTCGATTTCTTAATTGTCTGGTCTCAATAATAGGCCATTATATAGGTATCACCATCATAATCAACAGCCTTTAAATGGCCACTGCTGAGCAAAGCCTCTTCTCACACGGAGAAGGTTTGAGCATTAATCACCACGCTTGCTCAACGCGGGTTGGCGATTTCAAACTTATAATTACAAATTATAAAGCTCAGGTTTCCTCACAATGTTTTCCTTCACAGTTTGTCAGTGATGTCTAAATAATCTTAGAAAATACATACAATTCGGAAAAAGTCAAATTGGTAGGTACTTGCTGTTGGTCGATTTCGAACCCGAACCCTCACCCTCATGCATGAGAATCAGATCTTAAACCTCCGGGCCACCACGACCAAATATAAGTATACATAAACTTGACGCCCTTTATCGCCGAAAGGGTAGGCAGAGGTGCACATTACGGCACTTAATGACACTGTACAATGTAACACCCACTTTTCAATATTTATGTTATGAGTCCCATGCAATAGGGGGTGAGATATAGGTATACCTACATAATTTTATTACCACAATACAAATGTTATTTACATTTGCGTGATAATAAGTTGTTACATTTTACGACTCTCAGCTCTATTACTTTGAAATATGATACAATAGCTGTTCAAGGAAAACCCTCCTAATATTATGTAACACAACTAATGATATCATTATCAATACCATATACACCTTATGGAATATTCCAGAATTGCAAACCTTCCGCCATCTTGTCACTTTCCTTTTACCCAAATAGCAAACATCTTACCAAGACGATAAGGTGTATTTTTATGTGACAGGAACGATCGGACACTGAGTGGAAATTTGCCCGTAGTAACCTATGGATGTCTTACTTTGAGGATGGAGACACAGTGCCTCCTCCCTTCAATATCATTCCTACGCCTAAGCACTTCATGTGCTGGATCAAACGATGCTGTGCCAACAGGGATCGGGGGTCGATTATTGTAAGTAGTTTTTAATTTTGGTAATCAGATTTGAAAATTGTATTTGGTTTCTGTCAGCCTATTAGCACAAACTAATTAACACACTTGGTTTCTTAGTAACAGAATATATTGTTTTTTATATAAATAATAATAATTATCCTTATTCTATGGTAACTAGCCACAAATATCAAACCGCCTGGTAATATCTTTATATATATAATTCTGCTGTACGTGTGTATGTCATTGAACTCCTCCTAAACGGCTTGACCAATTTAAATGAATGTTTCTGTTCTGAATGCGTTTTAGTGGCGCCCTGGATGGTTTAGATTTACAAATCCCGGCAGATGGCAGTCGGTATCTAGGTTATTTATCTATACCTATTATTATATTATATGAAGGACAATGTCTGTCGGGTCCGCTAGTTTAAATAAAATTTCAAAATTTTCGATGAGATCCAAGAGCTAGCACTTTATCTATGCGATCCATCAGTGCCTTACAAACTCTCCAAACCGCAAAAACATTCCATACTAAAAACTTTTTTTCTCAGAACAAATCCCGCGAAAAAGCCCGCCAAGAACACGAAGCCGTGATGAGGGTGCTAGTCCGAAGATACGTGACAGCTGAACAGCGAGCCAGAGACGAGACAGGAGTCACCGAGGATGACGTCATGGAGATCAGACAGGACATCTCCACGTTACGATACGAGCTGATAGATATTCTCCATAACAATGGCATGAAAACCCCAAGGATTAGTATGCAAGACGCCACTGGTAAGGGTGTGTAACTTTTTCTACTAATATCTACTAATTTTATGGGTTTGAAGCTAACAATAACTAATCATTCTGGTCATCTGATTGATAGAGAAGCTTTGGTACATTAAGTTCTTGTGAAAAGGTTCCGTCATTTTTATGAGTTTTACGATAAAATTTTAATGATTGTATTTATGGATGTTGGCTCTTTTCATTTACTTAGCGTAGTTAGTATTGTATGTCATTAGTAATTTAGCGCTCTGTTCTGTTTCTTTATTGTCGGAATACTCAAACGCTACTCAATTTTAATTCGCGCTTAACTATAGTTCTGTCTCTACAAATTCTTTGTAAAATGACAGATTGGCACGATATTTAAGCACGACTTAAAATTGAGTAACGTATTCCGGCCGATATGTCTTTTATTCTTTTAATGAATTTCATTATTATAATCAACCATTATGCTCGACCTAACCAAGTATTTGCCATTTAAGTCCATTTTCATTTAGAGTTTGTGTAGAAAGCAATGATTGAAAATCAAGCATAGAATGCCACTTCATGTCGCAATGATTTTGTGTTTTAGTTGCTGGCAAAAAGGGCAAAGTGATGGAGAGAAGAATCCTGAAGGACTTCCACATTGGTATAGTGGAAGGAATCATCAAAGATGTTATATCCAAGGAGAACAAGCCTAAAGATGTGTTCAGCCAAATCGCTAAAGCTATCGTTAGGAGAGGAAGCACGGAGGGGTATGTACAAACAATATTTACCTGGTCTTACGTCACATAAGGATGCACAGAAAGCAAGTAATTTGAAGTGATTTCCTTATTTTAGATTTCTATAAGGATGCACTAATTTTTCACCATGTAATCCCTATTACAATAGAGGGGCTATGGCCAAACACCAGACACAATTTTAGATCTTGTGATCCTTCTGAGGAATTTTATAAAAACGCTAAAACCTCAAATGAACTTTAGCCAAGACCTGTTAATACTCAGGATAGTGATTGGGGCCATTCGGCCAACAAAGCAATAAACGTATACCAATTTACTTCTGTTTTAGCAAAAAACGTGACTGGAACGCCTTGGTCCGTACAAACACTGTCCGCAAGGATCCTATAGGCACCACTGCTGAGGCACAGACCAGGAGGAGTCGCCAGTCCCTCAGGCTGCACATCCTTGATAACATCTCCTCTAGAACTATTGACCCACAGAAGTTGTTAGGTAAGTTTATTTTGAACATTACATAACATCACGCCTTTTATCCCCGAAGGGATAGGCAGAGGTGCACATTACGGCACTTAATGCCACTGTACAATGTAACACCCACTTTTCACTATTTATGTTATGAGTCCCATGTAATAGGGGGTGAGCCTATTGCCATATACCGGGCACAATTCCAGACTCCGTGCTACCAATGAGAATCTTTAAAAACCCAGTAATACTTTGCCCGACCCGTTCGGAATCGAATCCGAGACCCCTTGCCCGGCAGTCGCACTTGCGACCACTCGGCAAACGAGGCAGCCCTCGATATTTTGAACATATATTCAATAGTTTGGAAACTTTCTATTTTTGATGGACTATGACTTTCATCGAAAAAGGGAAAATGCTATGAAAATCCCTTTTTGGGCACACGGTAAGTTTTTATTGGGTAGGGGAACAAAGAAGTAGACGACTGACGAAGTTATGTTTACAATTAAACTTTGAGCCATAAAATCTCCCATATACATATATTCAAACATGCTCATTCCACAACTAGATCGAGACTATAAAATTCAAACCCAAAGCGTTTATTGCAATTAATCCATAATCTGTTGAATATCAGTGTCATTAATAAGTATATTGATTTTTCCATTTACTAAAATGGACTGACATCTACATATGTTATTTATTTGGTATTTAATGCTAATTCTCTCATACAAATCCGTAACTTAAATAGGCACTTCTGAAACATCAAAATTAAATTGTCCATCAGTCGGTCAGTGAAGCTAGGTGCAATAGCTATCCCAATGTGCAACTATACGATTAAACTGTTTTTCAAAAAGACCTTCGGTATTTTCTTGTCATTTTAACATGAATTCTTCTTTCAGAATACAATCCACAACTGGCAGCAGTATCTCCATGCACGAGGGTAGCCTACGCCAAATTCATGAGGAGCAAGATCAAGTCAGATTTCACTGAGCGAGAGAAGAAGTCTAGAAGGTCATCTGATTTTAGTATAGAAGATGAAGTCTTTGATGCACCGAAGAAGAAGGAGAGTTGTAAGAGATGCAGTGGTAAGTAGTCTAGCCACTGGCAACTTGTACATTTTTAAGGGCAAAAGTAGTCTTTAACTTGTCGAGTACCGGTTTTATAGACACAATTAAAGAACAATAGGTCGCGGTCACCGGTGACCGCTTGGTGTTTGACAGTTTAATCATCAGAAGTAAGGTCTATAATGAAGTGAGTGAGAAAAGACGACACCAGGGACTTAGAAGCTAGGAATATGGTAACATGATTATTCAAGTCAACGACATCAATAGTCCGTGGCCAATCCAGTTTTTTTTTTATATTTGATGGACCGTCGTTTGACCACTATCTCGCCTGATGGTAAGCGATGATGTGGTCTTCGATGGAGCACGTCATCCCATAAGCAACATTCACCTGGGCCGTGAAGACACCCTTCAATTGAAGTATGAGCCTCCTTTTCACTAAAGGATTTCCAATAAACTACAAGCTTTGCAGGCGTATTCTTAATAAAAGGAAGATAAATAAGATCACCTATAATATCTATAATTCTATCCTTGATAAGCATGTTAAATCTTGAATTGGGTGTTTAACAAACCTCTACCCAAATCAAAAAGACTATCAACTTTCATTTCTTTTGTGGTATAAACCGGTAACCGAGCAGACGGATCACCTAATAAGTAAGGTAAGCAATCGGTGTCGCCCATGGACACCTGGAATACCAGATGTCCATGCCTTATAAATACGTTACCGGCCTTTTGGGATTAGAAATTTGAGGATTACTAGGGATTCGGGGATTGGAGAGGTAATTGGGCCTTCCTCCGGTAATCTCACAAGGTTTCAAGTCTGTCTTCAGTGAGGCCGTGGTGTCAGTCTGGTCGAGTCGGCCTATTCATGCCGAAAAATTTTGATGTGGTTACCTGTAAAAATGTTAATTAATCGGCAGATTTCTTCTCTCGAATTCGACTGACAATGCGACGTTTCTACATTGGATAATAATTTGGTAACTAGGCATTAAAATAGATACTCAAATTGTCATCCACATTGAAATATTGAAATTTATATTGTAATTTGTGAAGCGAATAGCAATTTCCAAACAAAACCGAAATTAATTACATGCTTGCGTCTAACTGATTTGATAGACCGATAACATTGAATGAAATGATAATACGTTTTCAATATTTTGATTAGAGCAATGAATCATATCAAGTCTATGCATATATCTATATTTAGAAAATGTGTAATTTATAGATTTGTGAATGGAATGGAATGTGTGTGTGTGAATGGAATACTGAATGGTACCTATTATACCTCTTTTCCGACTACAAAGTCTAAGGACTATTTTATTAAAGCATAAATAGATAATTGAGGTCAGACTCGCCTCGACCAGCCATCGTATTCCTAGCAGCATTTAAAAAAATTTCAATGACCTACCAACAATTCGATCCCCAAAACATATTTACTTATTTTTTTAAGCCGGTAAACGAGCAGACGGATCATCTGATGGTAAGCAATTGCCGTCGTCCATGGACACCTGGAACACCAGAAGCGTTACAAGTGCGTTACCGGCCTTTTGGGGATTAGGAATTTAAGAAATGTTCTCACTCACACGACGAAACACAACACTTGTTTCACGTCGGTTTTCTGAGAGGCCGTGGTATCACGCCGTTCGAGCCGGCCCATTCGAGCCAAAGCATGGGTCTCCTACACTTAAAAAGTGTGGTAATTATGACAAATCTCCTCTAACGAGTAACGAGGAGGGATGGTGTTCAGTAGTGAACTGGAAGTGATACAGCTGAAGATAATTTTTATTTTGTTAAAAAACTCAATATTCTATGAAGTATGTTTTACTAACGTAATCACTTTTGTCCATAGCTCGATCATTCCGCAGTAGGACACCGATACCTGAAACTTCAGACGACGAGGGCCTGAACGAAACTGAAATACAAGTGGAGGCCGATGTTGAGGATAAAGGTATAATATTATATCATCATATATTGTGAGGGGGTAGGTAGAATTACTCTTTGTGACTTGCTCAATTCACAAATATTGTTGCGGGAGGATAAACCTCTAATTCATATAAATATGCACCTTTGTAAACGCTCCCTAGAAACTCCTAATGTGAAATCACATTTTCAAAGGGCCTTAATTTATTTATGGTATAAGCCGGTAAACGAGCTGACGGTTCACCTGATGGTAAGCTATCGGCGCCGTCCATAGAAACCTGGAACACTAGAGGAGTTACGAGTACAATACTGGCCTTTTGAGGATGCTGGGGATGCAGGGATTGGGGAGATAGGAGAAGGAATTAATTGAGCCTTCCTTACACACACGATGAAACACTACGCCAGCATTGTTTCACATAGGTTTTCGGTGAGGCCGTGGTATTACTTCGGTCGAGCCGGCCCATTCGTGCCGAAGCATGGCTCTCCCACATTATTAAAAAAAGGATTAACTCTAGATGTTTACCTACTGAAAACTTACTTACAGCCTGAAAATTTAAACACGCTACAAGAACTGAACACGTAGTACAGCTGCTAAGCTATGATTTTTAGGTAAAACTTAGAATATTTTAGTAACACTAACAAATTGTTGTTTTACTAACAAAATAATGTTTTTGTTTGTGAAGTTACGTTACTGTGTTCGCTTAATCTAACTACCTTTTAAGACTCTTTCAACATCTACTTAGACAAATTGTTTTGACGCATAACATCACGCCTTTTATCTTGGCAAGCCTACCTCTTCGGGGATAAAATGCCGTAATGTACAAAACTGTGCACATTACGGCATTTAACTCTTTGAGTACCGTCATTATAGAGACAATTAAAGAACAATAGGTTGCGGTCACCAGTGTCCTCGCCGTGTTTGACAGTTTAATGCCACTGTACAATGTTACACCCACTTTTCATTATTTATATTATGAAGCCCATGTTATATGTACCGGACACAATACCAGACTCCGTACTACTACTGAGATTTTTCCAAGCCCAGTAATACTTTTGCCGACCCCGGGAATCGAACACGAGACTCCTAGGCCGGCAGTCCCACTTGCGACCACTCGGCCAACGAGGCAGTCTGAGTCTGTCAGTTTTAAATGCAGTGTATTCAGACACGTGTCAAAAACGGATACGAAGTTAAACAAAACAGTTCGTTACCTATACTGCAGAGTCACGGAGAACCTAACGGGTTACCGGGGCTCCAGCTCGACATGCAGGAGAAGGAACGAGGTGGTTTTTAGTCAGTAAGAGTCTGACACTCCCTCCCGCCTCACCCTGGCGGAAACAGTCATTCGATGATTTTCCCCCTTTAACTCTTTGAGTATCGTCATTGTAGACACAATTAAAGAACAATAGGTTAACATAACAAAAAAACCTTACTCTTAAAAATCTTACTGTATGCCAAATATCAGATCCGCAAGACTTTGTGTGAAACTAGGAAAAGTTGCTTCCAAAACTTAAATTTTTTCTCCGATCCTTTTCCGAACTGGGTTGGATTACTAAACCCTAATCAGTTTTCCCTGAAAGTTTGTGTTTTATACGGAACGATAACGCCTTATTATCGACAACTCTTTACTTGTTACCCGACTGAAGGAAGAGTATTTTTTTTTTATTTAACTCTCTACGACTTGCTTTTTTTTGTTTGTTTTTTTTTTGAGTGGAAAATCATTCAATGACTTCTCCTGCCTTGAGTTAGGCGAGAGGGAGTGTCAGACTCTTACTGACTAAAAACCACCCGTTAGGCCTTCCGCGGCTCCGTATTGAGCATCAGCCCTACTGAGCCCCATCTGTGGTGTTCTGATGGTTCTTTGAGGCGCGCGCGGAACGCGACGCGCCGTACGCACGGATCTCTACGACTCACTAAGGGTGATATCACATGTTGTATAATTTTAAAATAATAAACACCTTGTATAATTTTGAAATATACTGATGTTCATGGCTATAAGAAATAATTAAGAAGCTAATAATATAAAGTGTAAAAAAAGAGAATTAAAATCATATATGCAACTGAAACCCACGAAAACCTACTGCCGATAAATGCAGTTTGGCAGATGTTCATTTTGTTGATTTTTTCGTGTTTATAATTAAGTACATTTAAAAAAAAAACAATATACGGCCTACAAATAAATCTGTGTATAAAGTATTAACATTATAAGAAATCAATGATAGATACTTTCACCAATCAAACCTGGACCTTTAGTCAAACGCCACTTTAGCGCTTGTCTACAGAGAGTAGAAATCAAAATGTATGGTGATGACACTGACAAGTGTCAAAATTTACGTCAATCGCATATAATTTGGTTTTCTATTCTACATGTAGACAAGCTCTAAACGGCATTTGGCTACAGCTGCAGGAAACAGAACCAAAAGTCACAATTTATAACTCAAACGCTTCATGAATAATTTTAATCATGGGAATGCCCTGTATTCCTTCTAAAGTTAACTTGCAAATAAATATTAAATGAAATACTTCTCACTTAATTAACAATGAATTAATTATTATGGACAAATTATGCAATGCGATTCCTCAATGCCTTTCCTTAGTCGTTCTCTGTTGGCCTTTTCAATTAGAATTGTCTTGCTCATTTATTCATGGAGGCTAAATTTAAAGTGACTGACGAAATGTCGATGACTTCGGGAAATTGAATGTTTATATTTGTTTGCCTAAATCCACCTCCTCACTGCTTAACTTAACTTTGCTTCTAACGAAAAGTAATAAGTGGATAGTTAAAGTTATGCGCTACACTAATCTATTTTCTATTTACCTGTCTTTTGAACTAACCTTGATTTAAAAACTGAATGTTTATAGATATTTTATGTAAACCAACAGTAACATCTGTCATATACCCATTATTTCTTATTGAAATACAATTTACATAATCTCTGGCAAAACCTCTGAACCGATTTTAATTTTTTCGTTATTATTATAACCTTGGAAACTGATAAGACTATCTATTCACAAAGTCACGGGTAGAATCAAACTAACCGAAATCTCTGATTTTCTTTTAGCTTCCGAAGGAGGATCAGAACAGACACGTCCTCTAAAATCTTCATCACAAGAGCCGTCAGAGCCGAGCACGCCAGCTTTCGACCCAGTCGACGGCAGCCGTCTACCACCACCTACAGAATTCCAATCAACAGACCATATCATCACCATAGAACCGGACACTCCAACGAAGACCCTTTACATCACGCAAGAGGAGGATTCAAACCTTCAGAAACCCATCACTCCTACTCCTAGCGTGCATTCCCAGTCGGAGCAAATCCTATCAGCTTCAAGTTTAGAGTCACAATACAAGAAAATGACTTCAGATCCTCCTAGTGTGACGATTACTCCTGATCCTAGTGAAACTGAGAGGACTCCTCGGAAGTCCAGCACGCCAAGGTCCGCAAGAGTTAGTCCTAGTCCATCTCCATCACCATCTGCCTCTCCCGCTCCGTCTCCTTATGGAAGAGGTAGGGGCAAGTCAAAAGCCACAGGGAAAGTAGTTTCTGGTTGGCTCTGAGCTGAATGTAGACCGTTAGCTGTTCTTGTTATTTTAGGAATTTATAAGAGATTTTATTCTAGTCAACTGATGCAGGGGTTCCCAACTGAAGGTGTGCGATGATGAAATTGAAGGTAAAGTTTTGAATGGACGTTCCGTGGTTAAAAAGGTTGGGAGCCTCTGGTAATGTGTTGCCTTAAAATCGACATATTAGTGAGATATGCTGTTGTAGCAATAACTAGTTTTTATCGATATATTGTCTTCTTACTTAGGATTTTCTGGGTCACGTTTACTTGATAGAAAAGTATTATAACAAACATCTTCATGATGTGTTGTATTTTTAATAGAAAAAGCCATATCATTTTATTTTATATCATAACAAACCTCTATTTATAACAAAAGTGCCTTTTATAGTGAAAAAATGAATGAAAGTGCCTATTTATCCGTTTTTAAAGTTTGTGGCCTAGAAATACTAATTAATCTAAATATAATGGACGTGCAGTAACGAATTACTAGAAACTAAACTATTTAGAGCCGTATTTTCGAACCTTTTAAATATATTTTGTTGTAGTAGGTATTGAGAATGCTTTTATAGATTTTACGAATCATGATAAGCACTTATTATTATCAATAGCTGTAACTCATGTGAACCTATCGAATATATTTACGACATTGTATTGAAAATTGTACTTAATTGAAAAAATCAACACTATATTTATACTAAATTAACTAAAATGGCGGGTTACTCACGTGAATATACTGAGAAAAGCTCCACTAGTTTTGAACCACAGAGGGGTTCTTCCTCATGAGCAGCGTGCGCGGTCGCGGCGATGTCGCGCAGCTCACTAGATGTGAATAACTCGCGATTTTAGTTAATTTAGTATGTCTCACGATAGTAATTATAAAAACACCTCATAAGTTTCATAATTATTAAATGCTTTTCCTATTTATTTATGGTTTAATCCAATATTAATAAGACAATAGTGCCATAACTGATAAAATAAAAGAAAATATTGTTTTTTTTTTATACTTATCTGTCTAAAATTGTATTTTTTTTTGAGTAATCAAGGTATAACCTTCTTCATAGAGCCTTTGGGCGAACATTATAACACGCAAGCCTAACTTTATTTTCTCATTTCACTATACACAATACAAAATAGTCTTAATTACGTACAGAATAAGACACAAAACGTAATAAGCACACGAGAAATGACAATGCCGTATAAGTCCAATATAGTGTAGTATGTTGAATATGTTGATATAGTGGTAAGGTATGTTTAATTAAGAAAATAAAACCTATGGTTTACTTTCGTTGTTGTTTTATTGAAGTAACCTTTGTTATGGGACCTTAGAAGCTAGTAGGTACAAATAATGTACAATACTTAAGTTGTGGAAAAGTGTGATAATCAAGCAATAGTCGATTTTTAGGTTGAGAAATAGAGAGTTTTTTGTTTTGAGAACTGTACAAGGAATCTGAGATTCGGTATCTAGGTGAAGTCAACATTACTGGGTTTATTTTTATAAGTGGTTATAAGATCTTGGGTTCGATTCCCAAATCTTATTTTTTTTTTGTATTATTCCATGTACGTAGACAATGAACCTATTATGTGGAGATAAGTTATTATTTATCTCATTATACTTTCGTAACTAGCAAAATTGTGACTATTACACTTCGTAAGTGATCTCTACTTGTCGCGGAGAACCTAACGGGTTACCGGGGCTCCGGCTCGTAGCGCAGGAGAAGGAACGGGGTTTTAGTCAATAAGAGTCTGACACTCCCTCCCGCCTCGCCCAGGCGGGAGAAATAATACGATGATTTTCCCTATAAAAAAAAGTAACTTCTACCTCCACCATTGGCCGGCAAAGGGCATGATGTCAACATACAATAAAACCAGTACTTTACGTTTGTAATGAAGTTAATAAAGAAGCCGTTGTACCTAACACAATAGGAATGACAAGCCAAATACAACCTTATTGAATTTATAAAGCCAACAAGGATTTTATTAAGTCAGACCTCAGAATTAATAAAAAGATCTTAGATACCCACCGTTCTACTAGAGTTGATATTTTACGTAAAATTACGAAATAGACATAACATCACGGCTTTTATCCCGAAGGGGTAGGCAGAGGTGCACATTATACCACTGTACAATGTAACACCCACTTTTCACTATTTATGTTATGATTATGAGTCCCATGTAATAGGAGGTGAGCCTATTGCCATGTACCGGGCACAATTCCAGACCCCGTGCTACTACTGAGATTTTTTTTTAAACTCAGTAATACTTTGCCCGACCCGGGAATCGAACCCGAGACCCCTTGCCCGGCAGTCGCACTTACGACCACTCGGCCAACGAGGCAGAGAGAGTACGAAATAGACGAGGTGTGTAGAGGTATATTCTGGAACTAATACCATATCTATACCTAAGTAGTTTTTCATAACATTTCATGGGTTGATCTAGTAAAAAAGTAACCTATATATATGATTCTCCATCCATATAGCCTGATTCTACATAGTCGTGAACTTGGCTATAAAACGACGGTTGTACTTGCAATTACTGAACCACTAAAGTAGATGCTGAATTACTAAACCACTGAATATATCCCCTTAGTACTTTCCGTTATCGTACCACAAGACAATCGGCGAAGCGTCACTGATTCATGGTAGATGTCCCACCCACACAAGCGAAGGGCTTCGCATCAAGCTTCCTTGTGCGTACTGCTATGAAGTGAAATTCTTTGCCAGAGTCTATGTTTCCTGAAGGGTGGAGTCTATAACCTGGGTGTCTTCAAGGCCCAATTGAATAGGTTGCTTATGGGCAGACGTGCTCCACCGTAGACTGCATCACCGCTTACCACCAGGCGAGGTAGTCGCTAAACGTCGGTTCATCAATTATAAAAATAATATACCTCTATATATACCTCTAGAACATAAACTCTTCTAACAAAAAGTTCTAATTACAAGTTGCCCTATAGCTATTCTAAATAACACAAAACTTTGTATGTTTCTTCCTTGTTTCCATACATACGGACCTATATACTACACACAATTGTACATACCGTACAAGTAAAGCTAAGTACATAAACAGAAAACAAGGATCAAAACATTGTTAACATAGACAAACAATGAAGGGAATTGGATTTATTCTGTTAACTAAAACCTGGCGTTTCTCTAGAAGGGTAAGTAGAGTTGCAGAAATCAAAAAGAAAAGAGCGTATTCCTTTTTAAAAGGCCGGCAACTCACCTGTGACTCCTCTGGTGTTGCGGGTGTCCATGGGCGGCGCTGATCGCTTACCGTCAGGTGATCCGTCTGCTCGTTTGCCTCCTATTTCATAAAAAAGACATACAATATTTGGAATAACTTAGTCATACACGGCTAATAATTCCAGTCTTTTTACTGTTACTATTAAACCTATATCTAGGTTGCCTCAATGTAGCGAGGCTCAAGAGAGATACTCGTCTTCTTAGGGATGTGCCATAACAAGCGTTGCACCGTAGGGACTACGGAGAAGGTCTCTTTTAGACAACCCGGTGCTCCTTACAGATGGTGCTCCAAAAAGCTAGGCACCTTTGAAGGTTAAGCCCAAGCTATCATCAAAAAAAACATTTGCCCCAATGTTTTTTCAAATTCAAATTCAAATCGTTTATTGCGAATATAGGTCAAGTGTAGATGTTACAGTAGTTATTATAAAATAATTTGATCAGCTACATTCTGCCATTTAGCACGTAATATTGTGAAAATTACAATTATAATTTATTACTTACATTATTTAAATTAGTCATAAGAAAATATAGGTAGAAACAATGTGAAACAGTTGTTTGTCATTTTTGAGATAGTATTTTTTTTCATTTTTAATCTAGCTAGTAGGTATACTGTGCTAACAGAAACATGCCCTGTATTATCTCTAAGTATAGTTTATCGACCTATAATAGGTAGGTACCAAAATAAGTGGCAATCCAAAGTTTGACTTGACGTCGCCCACTCAACAGATGTAAATAAATAAACAAGAGCAGAATTAATATTCACAATTTGTTTCGAAGCAATGTTCATTTTATCTGTTCTGAGAATATTGAAACAGAATTCTGCATTTCCATCAAATACTTTAAGATTTATATAGGATACTAACTTATTGATAAATATAAAAACCTATAAAAGAAATATTGTGACATCAAATTCATATGTTTATCTCTGTAATGAAATTTAATAATGACTATTATTGTACAAATTGCTGATTTTAATGAAATTAAATATAATTTTTATACTTACAAAATTTGTACGCCACTATTGGCGAAACATGGACGCACAACATACTTATTTAAGATCTTGCATGTCTGATTACTCGGTTTATGTATACGCATGTTTTACAAACAAACAATCTTTCTTTCTTTCTTTCTATAAAAATATAAGAACTTATGGCGCCGGCTTCTAACCTATCAGTGGGTGGGGTAGGTAACTTATCAATACTAATAATAGTTATTTTCGTTTGTTATTAGTTTTTGGTTTTTTGAAGTCGGTTTTAATAATATGCCCAGAATCTCCTGAAAGCGGAAAAAGATAAAGCAAGTCAATATCTTGATATAGCTCGTGAGATTGTCGACATGTGGGATGTGGATTCAGCAGTCATTGTGCCGATAGTCGTATCTACCAATGGCCTCATTGCTAAAACCGTCGACAAACACCCAAGTTAGCTAGTGTTAGATGGTTGGGTCAAGGGCCTGATGCAGAAAGCAGACTTTTGGGCACGACGCATATTGTCCGGAAATTCCTTTCTCTAGAGCCCTGACCGCCGGTAGTTTAGATATCTTCAGTTTATGGTGGGCTACTGCTTTTTATATTTTTGAATGTTTTTTTTATAATCCAATATTTAAAAATATATAAATAAATAAAGAAAACAATTATATTATTATTAAATATTAATAATGCGATACATATCAATCATGTAACATTCGCCTTTATCATGCTTTATTTATTAATACCTAAAAACTGAATAGATATTTAAAATGCTTTAAAATACTTACATATCTGCACCTATATCTCAAAATAAAGCGGTGCCTATTTACTCACTCCCTTATTTCGATATCAAAAGCACTCTACATCACGCCTTAAGGCATAATGAATCATCAGCCATGTTTTAAAGGGAATTTCTCCCTTTGACACTCCGTACTGAAGACGTCAGGCCGTATTAATTTAGCTGCAATCCCCTTTCAGCCGGTTTTAATCAAAGAGGTTTATTTAGTCTTTTGAAAAATTATAATATTCTTGCGTTGGGGAATATAAAGGTAAGTTTTAGAAGGAAGTTAAAAAAGATAATAATCTGGATAAAAAGTGTCATTGCGTAGTTTTACTCTAGGCATTTTGAAAATCGTGCAATATGTCTAAAACTACACGTCCTAGCTAACACAAAAAAAAATCTTGTTAATCTTGGTTGTCCAACCTTGGCAAAGGCTAGGCAACTGAGTAACCGAGAGATTATCAACATAACATCACGCCTTTTATTTACGAAGAGGTAGGCAGAGGTACACATTACGGCACTTAAGGCCACTATACAATGTAACACCCACTTTTCAATATTTATGTTATGAGTGTTAAGTCCCATGTAATAGGAGCACAATTCCAGACTCAGTGCTACTACTGAGATTTTTTTAAATCCAGTGATACTTTGCTCGAATTTCGGGAATCGAACCCAAGACCCCTTGCAATTGCGACCACTCGGCCAACGAGGCAGTCAGATTATCAACTCATTATAAATAATATTTATATTCCGACTATTATAATATACCGAGATTGTTTTTAATTATTTGTGTGATCTACAAATTGAATTTCAAGACGTTGTATTATAAAAACAATTACAAACGTTAATTTTTTAATTTATTTTCATAAAAATAGATCATTGGTACCTAATACAATTTAGCAAAAAAAATAATTGTTTATTTAACGTTACCTTAGGCACGGTTAGTAAGTTGTTTCTACCCACTTAATAGAAAAACGATCACTTAATAAAACTCTTCAAATGTGGGTTTGACTTTTTAAAGGTTATTTTATCAAAACAAGATTGGGTTTTTGTCTTGACCTTAGAAAAAATTACGATAAGGCCAAATAACATGAGAAGCGTTTTTATTTTTAAATCCATTAAAAAAATCTGTAATACATTTTTACATGGCAACTAACTAATACGAATTTTGGACAAAAAGTTTACGTAATGGTTGGAATAAAAAAAAAAGAAACAAAAAAAAATAAGGAAACGCAAACATAACCAAATCTTTATTCAACAAACAAAAGCAGAAAATAATAATAATCAACACAGATAATAATAATAAACAACAAAAACCAACACAGATGAATCACGCAACAAATTACAAACTATTTTATTCCAATCACAATATTCATAAAAAATACATCACAAAAATAAATACAATTCAATTTAAATACAAAAATAAAATACAATATAATATTATCATTGAAGACACCAAATCAATAGAGAATCGTATGTCAATAAGGACAATCGCGGTCTATCAGACATTCACATTAGTCATGAATTTGACGCTCTGAAACTACACGCGCGCTCCCTATCATATGTATACGAGAAACTATTCATTCTGGTGTCCCTTTTATAGGACAAAAGGAAACATAATACAATAATTGTTTTGCAGGACAAAATAATCTTTAAAGTGTGTTAACATAGTAAATAAATAATTCAAAAGAAAGCATAGATTCACATATTAACAATCTTATTTTAAAATCAAGCAGACATATGATTTTATTTTAATTAGGATTAGAAATACATAAAATAAAATAAGTCATAAAATCGATTAATTTATAAACATATAAAAATAAAAACGTTTATGAAGAATAACCAATTTCTTATTTCTTATTTCAATCGCAATTTTCTTTTTTTTTGTTTTTTTTTTCTTTTTTAAGGGACGGCACATTACATTCAGTTGACAACCAACCCTAGCCAAATATGTGTTAAAGGAATACAACATTTAAACTTTAATAGAAATAAGGGTCAAAATTATATTAACTCATTCAATTCAACAGTGCTAGACTGAGATTATCGGATCAAAAAGAAAAATATTACAAAACCTTTTCAGTCTTTATTTTTTTACTATCTAGGTATAGAATATTGGTCCATATCAACACAATTGGGTACTTGCCAACTAGTCGAATTCAATACTTTTTTCGAACTGTCAAAAACGACAGTTTTCTATGAATTTTTTATGAAATTGTGTATTGTGACGTCACGTTTTTTAGGCGGCATAGTTACTTATTTCTTAATAATTTGCTACAAAAATACTACAACTTAACTTGGTCATAAAATCAATTAATGAATTATTTTTTAATATTTTATTATATTGAACAGTCGAAAAAAAATATTTTTGATTAAGACAAGTACCCAACCAATTTTGAAACAAAATCTATCTTTACAAATTTTATGAGCACTTTTACATTACCCTTTTTAGATATTAAATTGTAAAGGAAATAACTGTAAGTAGACATTTTGGAGTTTCAAAGTTACAAGATTAAAATTTCAACTGCTGTCCATTCGTCTTCGGAACAAAAACTGTAAGGATACTAAATTTTAAGTTCCGCTTGGAAATAGCTCTGGTTCTTTTATTTTGAAATAATTATTTTGTTATAATAAAAATAGTAATTATTAAATTAACTTACTACACGCACGCTGCTAATGAGCAAGAGCCCCTCTGTAGCTCGAAAGTAGTAGAGCTTGTCTCGCGATTTTTAGTTAATTTAGTATGTCTCACGATAGTTATTAAAAAAAACCATAGTAATCATTCACTTGTAACTTAACAATTTTTTATTGAAATTTATAAAAACGTTAATTTTATTACCAACAAACATGAAATTTGATTTATAATTTCAAATACTAAATCATATATATGTTGCTGTCTGCACACATAGCAAAATGATATCTTTTTCAATTTTGATGTCCAAATCGCTCCACATAACTAAATTTTCTTTTAATTTCAGTGACTAAAATTGCATTAAATGAGTTAATATCATTATAGGAAGGTATATAAGGGTGATACCTATAGCCAGCCGGTCTTCTGTTGTCTCTTAATAGTCTTGATCTCGTCCAACTTCTTGGCTGGACGGAGTGGTTCCGGAGACGCTGGTGGTATCAGCTGTTCCGTGCTGGAGGTGGAAGTGAGACGCTTTGGTGGAGATGGTGGCGCTGGGTCCGGCTGTCAAAGTAATGGTATTCATTGATAAGGGTTCAAATGGAGAATTAATTATTATTTTAATGAAAGTCTTTTTGTCGGATACTTGTGTATAACAAAGCGTTGCTGGTTGTCAAACCAAACATAACATAGGAGTCATACCTTTCCTCCCCGAAGAGGTAGGCAGAGGTGGAATTGTGCCCGGAATATGGCAAAAGACTTACCCCTAGCATATGGGACTCATAACACAAAATAGTGAAAAGTGGGTGTTATATTGTACAGTGACATTCAGTGCCGTAATGTGCACCTCTCCCTACCCCTTCAGGGATAAAAGGCGTGATGTTACGTTATAATCATCAAATTTAAACTAATTAAACTCTTTTACATTTTCATTCTCTAATTTTCAGAGTTATTATAACATAATTATAATTAAAATAATAGGTAGTACGTTATTATTGAATCCTTACTTATATATTCCTTACTTAATATTATAAATCGGAAAGGGAGTTTGTTTGTTTGTTTGTTTGTTCCACTATCACGCCGTAACTACTGAACCGATTGCTTTGAATTTTTGCAGACGTAAAGTTAGAAGTCCGGATTAAATAATAGGGTATTGATTAAATAATAGGGTATTGAAAAAATTGAAATTCCCGAGGGAAAACAAAATAATTGGTATAGATGGCGCTGTGTGTATTGGTATATTATTATGTCACAGGCTACTTTTTATCCTTTTGTGACGCGAGCGAAGCCGCGGGTAAAAGCTAGTAAGTAATAAAATATACATATCAAAATTAAATACAATAAACTCCTCGCCTTACTTAAATCGCTGAAATGAGAGAAGTAAAACAATATGAAGAATGAATTATGAAAATATATTTTTGCAATTATAAAGGATTTAGCTGACGGCGTTTGTAAAATATCTTGTTTCAACATTTTACGTTGAACCAGAAGTAGGCGGTTTAAGAAAACATTTAACAAAGAATATATACAATAGGAGTTTAAATACGTAATAGAAATAAGGAAGTTTAAAGGAAATTAGTATTTAAATACTTCGTTCTATTTAAGTTTATTGTTAGGTACTCCCTCACTGGGAGCATTCGCGTGTAATTTCAGTTATTAGTTCAGCTGTTTTTTATGGTATAAGCCAGTAAACGAGCAGACGTATCACCTGATGGTAATCAATCGACGTCGCCCATGGACACCTGGAACATCATAGGTGTTACAAGTACGTTACTGTCCTTTTGAGGATTAGGAATTTAAAGGCTCTTGGGGATTCAGGGGTTGGAAAGACTCAGGAGGGGAGTAATTAAGCCTCCGGTAATCTCATTTACACGACAAAACACAACGCGAGTGTTGTATCACGTCGGTTTTCTGCTCATCCGTGGTATCACTCCGGTCGAGCTGGCCCATTCGTGCCGAAGCATGGCTCTCTACGATACGCTAAGTAACTTTTAGTTAAGATATGGTTCAGGGGCGGTGATTTTGACACACGCATCCAAAACTACCACTGAAAATCAGTAACAATAGGTTTCTTGAGATAAAAGAATACCAAAATTCATGGAAATTCCAACAAGTATAAAATCTAATTATATACCTACATGTATGAAGTCACGATAAAAAAGTACCTACACCAATTGAGAAGGTTATTAAAATATCACGCTGTAAACTTTCATTATAGAAGCTATATTTTATTTGAGACTTTATGCATACATTGTGAAGGTGGTAGATTAAAAATAGAAATTTCATAATCACTGCTCTTTAAATAATACAATTTTAACTAATTAGTTTGTTTTTCGGTTTACGTGTAAATGTTTCACAAGGAACTCGACTAGTTTTTTTTATGGCATAAGCCGGTAAACGTGTAGACGCATCACCTGATGGTAAGCAATCGGCGTCGCCCATGGACACCTGGAACACCAGAGGCGTTACAAGTGGGTTACCGGCTTTTTGGGGATTAGGAGTTTGAGGATCGATGGGGATTCAGAGATTGGGGAGATTGGGGAAGGGGAGTATAATTGAGCTACCGGTAACCTCATTCACACGACGAAACACAATGCAAGCGTTGCTTCACGTCGATTTTCTGTGAGGCCGTGGTATCACTGCGGTCAAGCCGGCCCATTCGTGCCGAAGCATGACTCTCCCACTCTTAAAGTTTCAAGCCATAGTAGCGCGACGGTCGCCGCGTCGCGTCGTGTGTCGCGAAATGCTACTCATGAATTGTCTATAGTATGCCTTGAAACTAGCAAAGTTCCTCGTCAAACAGTTACGCGAAATACATAATCATTAATTTAGTATGTCTCACGAGAGTTATAATATTACTTGCTACTTCCGCGCGGTTTCACACGCTCTGCTCAGCTCCTATTAGTCGTAGCGTGATGTTTTATAGCCTACAGCCATCCTCGATAAATGCGGTATCCAACACAAAAATAATTATTCAAATCAGACTTGTAGTTACGGAGATTATCGCGTTCAAACAAACAAACAAAAAAACAAACTCTTCCGCTATATATAATAGTAAGTATAAGATTTTGTAGCTTTCTTTCTTTTGAACGAACTTCATTTTTAATACGAATACATAGAAGTTCAATGTGTAGGTAGTATTAGATGATTACGGAAGGGTTGTGCACCCATAGAGTTAACATTACAAGAACCCTCAAAAGCGAAAAGTTTTGCAAAACAAACCATTGTATTATCCAAATATTCAAACATGGATTGTTCGCAAAACATAAACCTTTTTGCTACATTTATGGCACGGGAGGTAAACAAGCGTAACGATATTTTATATTTTCTTCGCAGAAGTGATAGGAAGATACACTTCTTCACAGTTGAGATAGAAAGATATACATAATAATATATGAACGGATCAAAACAAATTGACTTCAATTTCTCTACAGAAATCTTAAGAATTCCATGCAATACGAGACAAGTCTACAGAATTACGCTAAAATTTGACATACTTTGACAAACTGCGTTTAAAAAAGCCACCTTCAATCCCCTATATTTTTGAAGTTTTGAAGTTTTAATATACTAAAACCTTCTCCTAAGTGTAACAAACACTTTACTGAAAGCGACATCAAAATCGGTTTAGACAATCACGAGATAATTGCTCACAAACATATATATATATACGAGCTACTTCCTTGCGGTTTCACTCGCTCTGCTCAGCGCCCATTAATCGTAACGTGATATTTTATAGCCTATAGCCTTTTTTGATAAATGGGCTATCCAAAACAGAAAAAAAAATTAAATCGGACCAGTAGTTTCGGAGATTAGCGCGTTCAAACAAACAAACTCTTCAGCTTTATGATATTAGTATAGATATATATATACAGGTCTAACTGAGCACCTCTTTTTTTGAGTTCGGATAAAAAGTATACTCACAGGCACGACAGCAGAAGTGGAAGGTTGTGGTGACGCAACTCTGGGTGGTGGCGGAGCCACTTTGGGTGGGGACGGTGGCTTCGCAGGCACCTCCGGAGCTGATGCCGGTGGGTGCACTGGAGTACTGGGGGTTACCTCCATTGTTGGAGCTGGTGGGGCCTGTGGATCACGATTAGTGGTTTTTGAAAAGTTAAGTCTATTGTATAAACGTCTGTAGTTCACACAAAAATGAAGACTGAAGTAGGTGACAGACAATAGAAGTTTAATTTAATCATAAATGAAGTTGCCGCGACCGGCCTAACTGGTTGCCGGGGCTCCGGCTCGAAGTGCAGGAATAAGAACGGGGTAGTTTTTAGTCAGTAAGAGTCTGACATTCCCTCTCGCCTACCCAAGACAAGTACATAATTGGATGATTTTCCACCTTCAAAAAAAACCATCGAGTTCTCCATTTCAAACCAAAAAAGTCAAATTTAACATTAAACGGTTATTAGGTATTTACTTTAATTTGACTCTTAAACTTCAAATACAAATCGCAAAAAATATAAATTGGTTTTAAAGTTAAGCTGAAAGTTTTCAATATTTAATGAATGCATGCTATTAATTGTTATGAAGTTATTGTTAGTTAAGTACTCTACTAGTTTGTTAAGTTGTGAATGACTTCAATTAAAAGTTTTAAGGGTATCAATAATTTATAACACATGTACTACGTAAATAAGTTTAAAAGGTTATAAAGGCTTGTCTTTAAAACTAACTCTAAGCTGAGATTAGGCTCAGATGTCATTATAGATTGTCTCCGGTAATGGAAATCTACTAAACAACTTTAGTAAACCTCTTAAGTCAAATTTTATGAGAACCTCCTCCTTTTTTTTGAAGTCGTATAAAAATGTCCATTATTCCTTACAAGGGCGTTTTAGAGACTTTATATATGAATATATGCTATTCTTGTTCTTTTCCCTACATTTTGTGCAAGTAAGGGCGGGATAAATACATGGTTCATGACATTCAGTGGTATAATAACGGTCGAAATAAACTCTCCAGGAGCGGGGTACACAGATGAGTGGAAAGTCAATGTATAGTATAAAATATTGTTACTAAGCCTATAATATAGCCTATTCTAGCCCGCAATAATATTGTGACATAATTGAGTTGAGTAACCTAGGATAAAGTACCAAAAACTATTATAAGTACCACTAACTCCAAAAAATACAATATTAAACAACCTAATTATTAGGTACATATGTTATTCGGCTTACTCATGTAATTATTTGTAGCAGCGCGACAGTCGCTGCGTCGCGGGTCATGGAATGGTGCTCATGAATATGAGCCTCTAGCATGATTTGAAAGTAAGTAGTTGAGTTCCATATCAAATAATTACGTGAGTAAGCCGTAAAACATAATAATGAATTTAGTATGTCTTACGAAATTTATAATATAAATCTTAAACTGCCATTCCAACCATGCCTTTGTATAATCAGAAACTTCTGTCTAAAAATATACTTTGTATTGTCTAAAATAAGAGTAAATTTGGTCGAACATTTATAAAGTAGAACAGTGGATTAAAACTTTTACACAACTGTAGGTGGTATAGAAACACTTTTTTTTAGGGGGGAAAATCATCGATTGTCTGCTCCCGCCTGGGTGATGCGGGAGGGAGTGGCAGACTCTTACTAACTAAAAACTACCCCGTTCCTTCTCCTGCACGTCGAGCCGGAGCCCCGGTAACCCGTTAGGTTCTCCGCGACGGTATAAAAACACTATGGTTTGTATTTTATTTTTATCCCTAATGACTTTAGATAATAATCCTTACATTTTATGATGACAAGACAATCACCTCGTCTCCTTCACAATCAGAAACCTTTGGAGCCCATGTATCTCCTTACCTTAGCCTTCGCTGGCGGTGGTGGTGGTGGAGGTATGGCTCCATCAGCCGGTTTGATCTCAGGAGCCACTGGTCTGGCTACTGCTATGTCTTCTGGTGGCTTGGTCTCGCCTTCTTCGGGCTTAGCTAAGCCCTGAGTTGGGGCAAAGGGAATATAATTGACGAATAGCACACAAAGAGGTGTTACTTGATCTGTTAGGTACTCATACACTATAATTTAGAAATAGTTGTTTTATATTTTTTAAATTATGTTATCCTTGAATTTTCAACTCACTGGTTCATCTCCAGATGGTGATGGTGGTCCCGGTGGCTTTCGCTTGATGACCTTCGGCGGTGACTCTCCTGGCACACGCTTTGCCTTCAGAGGACTTGGATCTATTGAAATTAAACAGTGTCAATAATTCTTTATTTACCAAAAACGCTTATTACAAAACTAATATTCACCTGATCGAATATTACTGTACTAGTTTTCATCCGCAAATTATATACACACAAATTATACACACATTAATTAATCATCAAGAATTACTTGACCACTCGTAGGAGTTGCATAAAAATTTGTTCAGTTGCTTTTGAGTGCCTGACAGAGTCAGAGTGCCTCGTTGGCCGAATGGTCGTAATTACGACTGCCGGGCAAGGGGTCTCGGGTTCGATTCCCGATTCGGGTAAAGTATTACTGGGCTGTTTAAAATAAACTCAGTAGTAGCACGGAGTCTGGAATTACATGGGACTCATAACATAAATAGTGAAAAGTGGGTGTTACTTCTGTGTGCACCTCTGCCTACCCCTTCGGGGATAAAATGCGTGATGTTATGTTAATCAAAATAACCGTAATAAAACGGTATCTGAGACAAGTACTGTAATACTATAAAATGTAAATCATATTCTGATTCAATAAAACTAACATTGTAATGTATAGACAAAGCAAATCAAATTTTAATATGAATGAACAGTTATATCATCACGCATTCACGCAAATCATTAATCATGGGTAAACAGACAGCTTGTCGACGGCTTCTGAGGTTCTAATCAACAACCACTGTCAGGAACTGAATTATAATCTGCATAAGTTTGTGTGATGGTGGTGAAATTGATTTATCTATAAAAGGGAAGCCTCGTTGATTGAGTTGTCGCAACCATAACTGCCAAGCAAGGGGTTCGATTGTCGAGTCGGACTAAAAGCTATGTGATTTTGGGTTTTCAATAATATCATGTAACTTGAAAAGTGATTGCCTCGTTAACTCAGTAGCCTTAAGAGCGACAGCTATGCAAAGGATTTTATATTCGATTCTCGGGTTGTCCAGAGTACTAAGGATTTTTTTCAATTACCTACTCAAAAATGGTCAACTCACTTCAAGCGATACTCTAAAATGTTATTATGCATTTCTTCCTATTAACTTTATACGAAAACATAAGTATGACGTCATCCAAGTAGGTTACGAAGCCGCCATCTTCATTTGTCCAAATCAAACATTAATATATCGTGTCCATTTGAGATGGGTAATGGACAATGACTAAGCAGCTCGTTGCTAAGAAGGTTGCCTTAAGTGACCACTTACGACACCCACGCGACGGCTGGCGTAATGCCAAATAATCTGGCCAAGTGCGAATGGAAATAACACAAAGAGTTCCATACCTATTTTTTTTAAATGGGCAAGCCCACCACAGCCTCCCAAAACCGCTGCAACTCCTGTAAGCCAAGATCTACAGTAAATACAACCATGAAAACACAGGAACACTGAAGTCCCAGGGACATGAAATAACTGTCTTGGTTCCCGCAACGAAGTGGATCAGAAGATATTATAAGATGAGAAGAAAAAAAACTATTCCATACCTATGTAAAATATTTTCAGATTTTTTGTGTATGAGTCCTCAGTACTATATTTCATCGGGACACCGTGACGTCGCAACCAGTCGCCGCTACCAATGAAAATATATAAGCTGGTTGCGCATCCAAGCAGAAACCAGATGTGTATAAATCTCTATAGAGCTGTACACAATTTGCAGGTAGCGGCGAATAGTTGCACTGGTGTAGTGTCCCAGTGAAATATAGCCCTTAAGTGTTTATTTTTAAATAGATTTTTTTTATTATAGTGATTATAGAAACATATTATCATCTATGAAAATTTAAACTGGTTAACTATCACACTTTATGAGGTACTAGCTTCTGCTTTCCAATAGGACATAAAGTATCCTATGTGATATTCAAGACCATAATTTTTTGACTTTTGGCATTGACTCCACGGTTGGCGCGGTGGGTGGGCAACTGGCTGCTGTGCAACGTGTTCTATTCCCGCACGGAACAACTCTTTGTCTGATCCACAGATTGTTGTTCCGGGTCTGGGTGTCATGTGTATGTGAAGAGGAGAAAATCCTGATGTGGGACAACGTTTTTTAAGAAGAAAGAATAATATACCCCTGTTCCAAATTTTATTGCGATCCCTACACCGTTTTTGCGTAAAACAGGAACAAACACACATACTCATACATCTTCACAAACTTTCGCATTTATAATAATAGTAGGATAGTGACAGACAACGCAAAATTAATAATAGGGTTTCATTTTTACCTCTTGTTTACGGAACCCTATAAAAGATACGATGGTACCAAGGTGGATAAATGTAGTGTTATGCAACATATCATTAAGTAAAAAACACAAAATAAGTTAAGTCAGGTTGTGTTCTCTTTTATTATTATGAAGATTATTATGAAGATCGTATTAGGAAAATCGATTCATATATTAAATTTTTTGTATTAGTAAATAATAATATTTTTTTTTGACAATGTCTTAGTCAATTTTTTTTCAGCCCCTGAAGACTGGAGACACACGTATAGATATAGATTTGGGGTGCGGTGCCAGAAGACCTCCCCGTGGTGCACCCTGGGTACGGGTGATAGTCTCCCTAACGGGGGTGATAGGGTTGGAGTGACTATTGTCCGTAGCAGACTTCTGGACAGGGCGGGCGAACCCGGTATGGGTTCTGGAGGCGACGGGTTTTGTCCCTGCGCTTCCGAGGGGTCGCTCCTCCACCCGTCTCTCTGAATTCAGCAGAGAACGTGGCGGAGAGGCAAAGGCAGAGCTCGTTGAGCACTCACCCTGCCAACGAGCAGCATCGGGACACACGTTGTTCCCGATTGCATCTGTCGATATCGTAATCCGTGAAGAGATCGTGTCTTATGACTCCGAACGGGACGAGGGTCTTGGCTTGGTCGCCTGGACCGCGAGGAAGATAACCTCTATAAAAAATTCCTCCAATACCAAGTTCTGGTGCGCGGCGAGGGTATGCATGGCTGAGGAGTAGTGTCAGTCGTGAGCGCACCCCCAGCTAGGGTACCGGTGGACCCTCTAGTTGGGAAACAAATATACACCAGGTACAGGGGGCACTGCCTGGGCGGACCGTTTATTTCCCCCATACTCGTGGGACTTTTATGGAAAGTACTAAAGAAATTATTAAACCACCAATTGAAGAGGAGGAGAGGGCAGGCGAGCTCAGCTCGCCCGCACAAAAACAAATGCAAGTAGAAAGCGGCGAAAAACGGTCGCGTAGGACGTCTTCTGTTAAGAAACGTCCTGCATGTCAGTCTTCAGATGAAGAGAACATGCCGGCTCCCAAGTTACCGACTTCGAGGAGGGGGCGGCAGGTATCGAGAGGGGCGAGGAATTCACAGCCGCAAAGGGATAAGCACGGACGACTCGTACGTTCCAATACCTCGGCAGCTAGTGAAGTAGAAAGTGACATGGGGGTCACTACGGACGACCCTGGCGAGGTCGGTGAAAGTGGTGCTTCGCTGGGGAGCTCAAAGGCGGAGCTCAACGCCGCCAAAAGAGAGCAACGCAAAGCCGTCGCGGTTGACGAAGTGTCAGAAATGTCCCGACGCGCTCGCGAGCGACGAGCAGCTCTGGCGGCGGAAGGAGGAGAGCCAACTGCGGTGGCCTTGAGCCAGCTGGCTCTGGATGGGGTGGACCTAGTCCTAAAGGTTGCCACCAAGTCCTGCAGCCTGAAGGGCACGTTCATACGAGGTTTAAAAGAGGCTGCCACGGATATCAGGGAAGCGATTGGCACCCTCCTCAACAGAACGGCCTCTGACGAGGTCGCGAAGTTACAGGAGGAAAATAGCCGCCTCCGAAATGACATCGAAGACCTTCGGCGACAAGTAGCTGCGCTAAGCGAGCAACAGCAGCAATGCGCACCCACTGTTGCCGCACCTATAGTGGCCCCAACTCCCGTATCGCAACCGGCAATCCCTCGCACTGATGAAGAGGTCGAGCGCATTGTCCGGCTCTGCATGCTCCAGTGTGGGAGCATGGTAAACGCTCGGCTGGAAGCTATTTCCCGGCGTCTTCCAGCGGAAACCCTCCGTCCGCCTCTAGCGGCTGACACGCGGAGGAATGAGGAGCGGCCGACAATTGGGCCTCAAAAGGGGAAGTCCACGGAGGGAGCTCCTCCAAGCGACCAGCCCACTTCTGCCGGGTCCAAGAGTGAGACTTGGGCAAAAGTCGTAGGGCGCAAGAAGGCCCGCAAAGCTGCCAAGAAGGCTGCAGCAGCTGCATGCCCTCCCGGTGGAAGCCCAAAGGCGATCACGCAGCCTGCGCGGCGGACCGCCAAAGGCGGTCGCAAAGGACCGACTTTACGTGCCCCGCGTTCCGAGGCTGTCACTCTCACGCTACAGCCTGGGGCTATAGAGCGTGGCGTAACGTACCAGTCGGTCATTGCCGAGGCCAAGGCCAAGATCAAATTAACAGATCTTGGTCTCCAGTCCGTCACCCTCAGGCAGGCTGCCACGGGTGCACGACTGTTCGAGGTGGCTGGTGCTACTACCGGCAGTGCTGAAAAGGCAGACGCTCTGGCCGCCAAGATGAGGGAGGTCCTTAACTCGGAGGACGTTCGGGTCTCCAGACCTATGAAAACCGCAGAGGTGCGGATTGCTGGCCTGGACGACTCCGTAACCTCTGAGGAGGTGGTGGCGGCCGCTGCCCGAAGCGGCGAATGCCCACCGGACATGGTGCGAGCTGGTGATATACGCGCCGACGCCTCCGGACTCGGCGTAGTCTGGGTTCGGTGCCCTATAGCCTCGGCGAAGAAGCTTGCCGATAGCGGCAGATTGTTGGTTGGCTGGGTTGCAGCGAGGGTCAAACTCCTGCAGCCTCGGGCGTTGCGGTGCTTCCGGTGTTTGGAGAAGGGGCACGTCCGGGCAAAATGTACCGCCGAGATTGACCGAAGTGACCTTTGTTATCGCTGCGGTCAGACCGGCCACAAGGCGGCCCAGTGCACCGCGGCGCCCAACTGCAGCTTGTGCTCGGCTGCGGGCAAACCAGCGGGACACATAGTAGGTGGAGAGGCCTGTGGTGCGCCTGCCAACAAGGCCAAAAAGAAAAAGAAGAGGGGCTCTAAACCTGCTGGGGAAACCTCGCCACCCTCGCAGGCTAGTAGCTCTGCGGCCGACACCCGGCCCATGACCGTTGCCGAGGGAATGGAGTGTCAATAATGGCACAACTCCATTTCCTCCAGGGCAACATCAATCACTGTGCCAGAGCTCAGGATCTCCTACTCCAGAGCATGGCAGAGTGGTCGATTCACGTGGCTGTGGTCGCCGAACCGTACTTCGTTCCCGCCCGTGACAACTGGCTGGGATGCACTGAAGGTTCGGTGGCTATTATTGGCGAGGCTCTAAGCGACCTGTCTCGTGGCCGCGGTTGGGTTGCTGCGGTCTCGAGCGGTATTGTCACAGTGGGGGCGTATTTTTCTCCCAACAAGAGGCTCGCCGACTTCGAGAGTTTCCTTGTCGAGTTGGGCGCTGTCGTAGGCCGCTATCAACCTCGTCCCGTCCTGGTGCTCGGGGACCTCAACGCCAAGTCATCGGCGTGGGGATCTCCGGTTACTGACCCTCGGGGTGAGGTGTTAGAAGAGTGGGCAGTGACGACTGGACTGGTCATCCTGAATCGGGGTTCGGAATACACGTGCGTGCGACAGCGGGGCGGGTCAATAGTGGACGTCTCGTTCGCTAGTCCGTCTGTCGCCAGCCGAGTCCGCGATTGGCGAGTCGCCGTAGAGGTGGAGACGCTATCGGACCATCGGTATATTCGATTCGACGTCTCTGCCCAGACCGCTACCGGCCGCCATCCAGCAACCCCGATTAACGACGGCCCGCGTTGGGCGCTCAAGCGCATCGACAGGGAACTACTCGAAGAAGCTGCCTTAATCCAGTCCTGGGTCTGGGAGTCGACGACAGACGGCCCCGTCGACGTCGAATCGATGGCGCTGTGGTTTCGCGGGGCGATGACGCAGATCTGCGACGCGTCTATGCCTCGTATTCGCCAACAGTCCGCAAGGCGCCAGGTGTACTGGTGGACGGACGAGATCGCGCAGTTGCGCGTAACGTGCGTTGCGGCTCGCCGCCGGTACACCCGATACCGGAGACGACGTCGACGGGATTCCAACGAGGAGGATGCGCTGTACGAGGTGTACCGCACGTCTAAGGAGACTCTGCGGCTGGCCATCGCCGATTCAAAGTCGCGTGCTAGGGAGGAGCTGCTGGGGTCCTTAGATCGGGATCCGTGGGGGCGGCCCTACCGTTGGGTACGGGGCAAGTTGCGTCCCTGGGCGCCTCCACTAGCCCAGAGTATGCAACCCCAATTGCTAGAGGCAGTTGTATCAGCTCTCTTCCCAGAGCGAGCAGAGCACGTTCCCCCGGTGATGGCTTCGCCGTCTGCTACAGACTGTCCCGAAGAAGAGACCACCGACGTCCCCGAGGTGACAGAAGCAGAGACGAGAGCAGCCGTGTTGCGACTCCGGGCTAAGAACACAGCGCCCGGACCCGACGGCGTTCCTGGTCGGGCTCTCGTCCTGGCTATGAAGGTTCTAGAGCCCCAGCTGAGAGGGCTTCTCACGGCATGTCTCGAGCGAGGTCAGTTCCCCAGTGTGTGGAAGGAGGGAAAACTGGTCCTGCTCAGGAAGGAGGGGCGCCCTGCGGACTCGCCATCCGCGTATCGGCCCATAGTGCTGCTCGACGAGGCGGGCAAACTTTTCGAGCGTATTATCGCAAATCGCCTCGTGAGCACTTGTGCAGAGAAGGACCGAACCTGGACGACAACCAATTTGGTTTCCGTGAGGGGCGCTCCACCATAGACGCCATCATGCGCGTGAGGACCCTGGTGGAAGAGACGGTGTCCCAGGGTGGGGTGGTACTGGCGGTGTCTTTGGACATCTCCAATGCATTCAATACCCTACCCTGGAGTTGTATTCGAGAGGCACTAAAATACCATCGCGTGCCTCTCTACCTCCGCCGTATAGTAGGGGCTTTTTTGGAGGGCAGGTGTGTCACCTATCGGGGACGTGACGGTGTCGGTCGGCACCTCATGTCTTGCGGTGTTCCACAGGGATCGGTCTTAGGGCCACTCCTGTGGAACATTGGGTACGACTGGGTGCTGAGAGGTGAGCTCCCTTTGGGCGCTGACTTGACGTGTTATGCGGACGACACGCTCGTAACCGCCCGGGGGAGCTCGCATAGGGAGGCGACGTTGATAGCCACGGCTGCGGTGTCACAGGTTGTGAACCGCATCCGGCGCCTGGGCCTGGAGGTGGCCCTGAACAAATCGGAGGCCATGGTGTTCCACGGCCCCCGACGTGCACCAGCGCCGGGATCGGAAATCGTGGTCAGCGGGGCTCGCATAGCTGTCGAGTCCACCATGAAATATCTGGGATTGGTGCTCGACAGCCGATGGGAATTCGGACCCCATTTCCGGCGGCTGGCGCCCAAACTGATGGGTGCGACGGGCGCGCTTTCAACGTTGCTTCCCAACTTGGGGGGCCCGAGCGCCGCCTGTAGGCGGCTGTATGTGGGAATCGTGCGATCCATGGCCCTGTACGGGGCCCCTGTGTGGGCATTAGACTTGACGGCCAACACTCTCGCTATTCTGAAAAAACCGCAGAGGGTGATGGCTGTCAGAGTCGTCCGCGGGTATCGCACGATTTCCTACGAGGCGGCTTGCGTCCTGGCCGGATCCCCGCCCTGGGACCTAGAGGCGAAAGTACTCGCGTCACTATACCGATGGCGCGAGGAAGAGCGGACACGGGGCTCGAGGCCGGTGCAGCGCCAAATCGAGCGGCGCCGAGAGGAGCTCCGTCAGGTCTTGGTGGCGGAATGGCGGCAAAGGCTTTTGCGCCCCACCGCCGGCCTCGCTACCGTCGAGGCGATCCGGCCAGTACTCGACGACTGGCTTGGGAGGAAGCACGGCTCCCTGTCGTTTAGAGTGACGCAGGTGCTGTCGGGGCACGGCTGCTTCGGCAAGTACCTGCGCCGCATAGAGAGGGAGCCGGACGCCCGGTGCCACCACTGCGTCCATTGCGGGGAGGACACGGCGCAACACACGCTCGCCGAGTGTGTAGCTTGGGAGGCAGCGCCGTGTCCTCAGAAATGAAGTAGGAAGCGATCTGTCGCTGCCGGCCGTAGTGCGGAAGATGGTGGACAGCGCAAAGTCGTGGGACGCGGTGGTGTCTTTCTGCGAGGATGTGATGTCGCAGAAGGAAACTGCGGAACGGGAGAGGGAGATCTTACTGACTTCCTTTCCCAACCGCAGAAGGCGCACCGGGCGTAGGAGAAGGGCCGACAACGCCCTCTTCCGGCCCCCATAAATGGGTCCAGGGGCGAAGGACTTGGGGAAGTCCTCGCCCCCGACTTCAAAGACCCGAGTCGAAGGCGCGCGCGGGTGTCGGCGTGCGCCTTTGAGGCGATGCACGTGGTGCACTGCTCCGTGCAGGTGACGGGGCCCTGACATACGGGCCGGCACTGTAATGCGGGGCTGCGGATGAATTTGGACTCCCGTGGCCCCGCACGCACGTGTGAGGAGACACTGGGGTGGTTTTAGCCGGTAAGAGTCCGGCACACCCCTCCGCCTTTCCCCAGGCGGAGGCAGTCCATGAGGATTTCCCCCCATAAAAAAAAAAAAAAAAAAAAGGTTGTGTTCTCTAGGGCATGCAGACAAATGTAGATTAATGCACGTCCAATCAAATGATCTGATTTTTTCGTATTTCTAAGTATATTTTTCGCTTTATTTCATCAATTGAAAATGAAAACTGTCGACGAAGCGGCAGCGTATCGGCAGTCTTTCTTCATTTGTAGGTTGCATGCATTTGTCAAATGACGCGTCATGGACAGTAGGACTTACGCATAGAACTGAGGCCATTAAATTCAAGGCTAGGAAACCATATTCCTTAGATTTTTCCCATTCGACACTTAATAGTGAAAATATGAACAAACCAAAGATTAATCCTAGAGGTAGAAGTTACGTAATATATGTATGTATACCAAAATTCATATCCAGATTACATACAAGGAATATGTAACGAAATATCCCGGAGGCAAATTGTTAGAGGTCTGTCGAAATGTGGTTTCAGTTAGTCAGATTTTCAAATGAAGATGTAGGTATACTATTTTAACAAACGTCAATATTATTTTCGTTCGTTCGTATAGAATTTTAGACACAAGTGCATAATAAAATTCAATAGTTTTTCATTCAATGTAAACTACTTAATTTGGTCATTAATAATCTATATAATTATGTATATAAAAATGAAATCCATTTCCCGTTGTCACGCCATAACTTGAGAATGGCTGGGCCGATTTGGCTATTTTTTTTGTTGTGATTATTATTGTCAGGAGAAGGTTCTTATGATAGAAAAAAAAATCCTGAAAATCTTATGGTAACGGGAGAAAACGGGATTGTGCGTACGAAGTCGCGGGCAGAAGCTAGTACATATTAATTATTAATTTCATGACTAACCTGGCGGTGGAGTCGTAGTAGCTTCACCTGTAGGACTGGCGGCCTTTGGCACCGGACTGGCGGCCTTCGGCACCGGACTGGCGGCCTTTGGCACCGGACTGGGGGCCTTTGGCACCGGACTGGCAACTCTTGGAGTAGGGACTGGTGAAGGTCCCTTTGTCGGAGTCTAAATAAATAATAATCCTGATAAAACAAGTGCTTGGCGATTTTAAGGGCTACGATGCTACGCCGTAGTACGTAGTATGCGTAGCAAGGAAGCGTTCGGTGATGTAACGACATAGCTTAGAACGTTAAAAGTTATATGAGCTTTATAAGTTTTTGTTAAGCCAATGAGAAATGTATTAATGTATTAAATACGCGATTGTAAATAGTAATTATTTATAGTTTTGTCTTTCCATTCTCCGGCGTCCGATATGTTATTTCTGATACACTGAACCTGATTATAGACTAGAGAATGCTTAAAAACTGTAATAGTCCTGATCTTTGCTATAATTAAGCACTTGCTCTTTAAAATCCTTGTGACCTTATAAATAAATAAACATAGTAAAAAGATTTGAACAAAAAGTCCTATTAAACAACGAGGAAAATTAACAACACATTTTCATTAATTAAAACAGTAAAGAAATTTCGTCACAAGTTTCCGGAGCGATGCGTTCCAAATTATTCTAGATATAATTTTTAACTAACAACAGTTGAAAGTCACAAAAAATGACATAGTTCATGTAAAGATACGATAAAAATAAAACTTTGGGTTGAATAATATGTCCTGCTTTTAACTAACCATTCATAAAAACAGTAGGAGCAGAACTATCAATCGGTATGTAACAATGTTTTTGCGTCGATCCGAGATTCTAATTCTGCATCTATTTAACGGCCGGAGAACGAGTCTAACGTGCCAGTGGTATCATCGACACAGATAGAGGAAAATACGCGTGAAGCGCGTCAGAGGGCGCGTGCGGCCCGCACCGCAGCAGACTCGAGTAGCCAGTAGTAGTGCGACAGTCGCCACGTAGCCTGAGTGAGCTCCACTCTAGTAGAGTATGAGCCTCCAGTGTGAAATATAATAATTAAGTAATAGCGTATAAAATATACACGCCTTTTCCTAATGATATTCTTAGTTTATTTCGCTCTAAGCGAGACAGTTAAGTTTATCTAAATATTCTGTCAAAATTTTCAGAAAAGCACGGATTATATGAAGCTATGTAAGATATTATCTCTCCCTTATTAAATGGTGTTCAAAATACAACTAACAAAACGTGAATATTCAAATCCTAAGCTAAAAATCTTCCACTTCCATTCCTACCTACCTCTTCGAGAAATAAAAGACAGTACATTACTTATTCACAAAAACTTGCCTTAGCTGGTACAGGCGATCGCGCCGGTGATGTAGCAGGCACTGGAGTTGTAGAAGCAGGGGTTGCAGGTTTTGGCGACACAGGTCTGCTGCGAGCATCCATCGCTGACAGGAGAGCACCTGCAGCCATACCTGCTCCGCCATCTTCTCCTAAACGAGAGTCAGACCGTACAGAGGCTAAAGAAGTTCAAGTAGTGAAATGTGTGAATGGACTTCTTCAATAGTCACTTATTCAGTTCAGTTAAGTAAGACTACTTGCTCTTTCTATGGCGTAAAAGTGACGTGACATGTTTTATTATGAAAAAAATACGTTGGTGTTCCTCCTGATTTTTCTGTGGTATGTATCAACAAACGCTATTAGGTATAAAATATAGTCATAATCGTCGTACCATATTGTCAGTTTAAGTTGTTATCTTACCTACCATAATAAACAAATTGTTAATTCAAATCTATTTAACATTCTCTTATCTGTTTTCAACACAATATAATATTAAGAAGACATGGACGCTCGTCAGTCTCGTCACATTCATCATCATCATCATCATCAACAGCCTGTTTTCGTCCACTGCTGGACATAAGCCTCTCCAATGGCACGCCACTGAGCTCGATCTTCAGCTCTACGCATCCAACCACTACCAGCCACTTTACGTATATCGTCACTCCACCTAGGTGGAGGGCGCCCTACACTACGTTTGCCTAGACGCGGTCTCCACTCCATGACCATGAGCCCCAAGCGTGGCTTGACGAGTTGGCTCGTAAACCGTAATTTATAATGAACATATTAAAAATTCATATAAGATCTTACCAGGTGGTTTCCAAGGTGACTTTGGAGGTGATGTAGCACCTTCAGGCTCGGCCTCACCAACTTCCGTGGAGATATCCTTGATCAGCTCCAGAAGAGTATGTCCAGGGCTGATGGGCATCTCAATTGGAGTCCCCACTCTTGAGCCTTCTAGCCAAAGGATATGTAGTTAGGGGAGGTTTGTAATAGTTGTTAGTAGTATGTAATTGGGAACAATTTTGACGTGCCAATAAAGAAATAATCATTTATTTTATTAATTTGAAACTGGAGATTATTAATTTTGAACTCGAATAAAAGTGTAGAAGTCTCTTCATATGTTATAAATTAATACAGATGAAATTAAAACTTCTCCAGTGGGTTTATAGTTACTTAATAATGTTAAAAATCTTCTAAAAAAACAACTTTTCTTATTGATTTAAATATCAATACTAAGCAATGTTTTACTGGTTTTCCTGTTTCTAACTCACTCGGTAATAGTAATTTACTAAAATATATACTTTTTTGTACATAATGTTCCATGATTAACTATTTCTGCCGAGCTGCCCCAAGCGGAGGTCACCGGAGACCGCTCTCTACTTACTCCATTATATACCTTATTTCCGATGCTTAGTGACTACTTTTGTATGAACAAATGTTGTGGATTTTTCATAATTGTGTATTAAGAAGTTAATTAATTTAAGTTTCTTTTTTTATTTAGTCGCATGGGTACCTATAATAAAATCGTTGATAAGTGAAAACTGTAGGTACATCGAATATTTTTATAAATTTATGGTTTAAGCGTGATCTACAGTCGATACCGAAACCAAAAATATGGATTTTTCAATTGTTGCCTGTATGTGTGTCCAGGATAAACTCAAAAAGTGCTGCATGGGTTTATTTCAAATTTTGCAATGAATATTACTAACAGTAATATTATTAAGTGCCGAAATGTGCACCTCTGCCTCCCCCTTCGGGGATAAAAAGGCGTGATGTTATGTTTTTTATGTTATTACTAACAGGTCGGGTCAACATATAGGCTACATATTATCATACAACTACGGGGGAAGAGCTGTGAATCACTATACCACGCGGACGAAGTCGCGGGCTCATAGTGATAAAATAAAAGAACTATAACTGCGTATGTTAATTGCTTTGCACAAAGAGCTCTTAGTAAGTTTCTTCCTCAAAAAACCTTTGAATTATTTCTCAGAAAAGAATATTCGAGAAAAGTTTCGAGTTATCTGCAACTTTGACGTTGGAGTATGTGCTAATGGTAGCCGGTGCCAAATGAATATATTTGTTTTTGGCAAATGTACACGACCTAGCGGCACCAATGTCCAAGGCTTTTGTTTCTATTATTTTGCAGACGTTAATTTCGTATACATTCGTATGCAGTTTCCTTAAATAAGAATTTATTTGATTGATGGCCTTAATTGCAGGTTTTGATGGATAATTAATTTTTGTATTAGCTTTTGATTTATATTTTTGACCAATCAAAGATTTTCTCTGTTAAACTGTCAAACACCAAGCGGTCACCGGTGACCGCGACCTATTGTTCTTTAATTGTGTCTATAAAACCGGTACTCGACGAGTTAATTAAACATACACACATACATAATTTCACGTCTGTCTCCTATGGGGATAGATAGAGCATGCGATTAATTTATTTGTCAACTTAGTTAAGAGATTAGTATTTTTCAATTTAAAAAAATTGGTAGATATGAATATCATTTACTTTTGTAACGGTAACCTTCTGAAACTATGTAACAATACCTAGCCATTCTAATAATCACTTTCAAACTAAGACACCAATAAGATACTAGTGATTTAGAAAAAACTAACTTTGAAACAAACATGATTTCATCCTTAGTTGGCTCATTTTCCAACACACCTTTAGCTTACTAAAGGAAATTACAAAAAATACACTCGTGAGTTACTCATTTCTTCTCCGTGTGAGAAGAAACATTTAGGTTAAGAACTCACAGCGCGATCTTCTCTCGCGTCCGCCGCGGTGGCGAAATGGTGGCAGAATTTTCAAAGTCAAAGTCAAAGTCAAAATTATTTATTTCAATTAGACCAGGAAGGCACTTTTGAACGTCATAACAAAATATTTAAATATTAAATAATAAGAAAAAATGTCAGTCTGTAGGTCAGTCCTCTAGTGAAGCTATTTGCTCGTTCCAAAGTGTAGATTCCTATGGAGAAGAACGAGCAAGAAACTTCATAGGTTACTCTTTTTCAATCATGTTCACAATATAATTTTTGGTCAAAGCTCACGAGCTCGCAGTTTACTAAACGGTAGTATAGTTATACCGAGAGGCTGTACCATGATATCACAATCATAAGGAACCTCTGTAGTAATGTAATTTTGATCATTAAATATGTTATTAAGATTAGAATAGAACTAAATATGTTCACCTGGCAGTGGAGAGCGAAGCACCAGCTTCCTAGCTTCCTCCATAGCGCGCTGCAAGTTCTGCTGGTTCTTGAACGACTCTCTACTGCGACAGCGGCCGATCTGGGATCTGGACAAAAAACGTAAGTTGATTTACGTCTGATTATTGATTCCAAATCTTTAAAGCCAAGAATACACTTTTTTTTAAGGAGGGAAATTCATCGAATGACTGCCCCGCCTGGGTGAGGCAGACCCTTTGGAAATCAGGCCTAGCCACCGCTCCAACCGTGCAACATTAGAAACGTATTTTTACTTTTTTTACAAAACTAAATCTTTTCGACGATATATTAATTTGAAACATTGTGTGACGATGATGTAGCACGTTGTGTCGTAACGACCTCCTACTCCTAAACTTAACGCCCTTTTATCTAAGTATTTTAAGAAAATAAAACATATATCCAGAAACATATATCCAAACATATTTCCAGAAAATAAAACATACGTGTCGAATATTTTTTTATTTATCTAACTGCCGCAATGATTAGATTTTTAATTTTCACACATGGTATGAAAATTGCAACTACCCTATTATGTATAAAAAAGCGGTAAAGCCTATTAGGATAACTAATAGAAGACTAATATCAGCTACAATTAACAAATAACTCACGAGATCCCAGTACTGGCAAGCGTTTGATCCCATTTAGCATTAGTAGTGCTTGCGACTGCCAACTTGGCGATCCTCCTGAACCTGGACAGTCCATCTTCATCCGCCGGTTTCTCATCATCCAAGGACACCGGCGCTACATGGAAGTCCTTCATCAAACGACGCTCCCATACCTTCATTCGTTTGCCGAGAACCACTATAAGATAAATTGGTTGCATTAAAATTGTTACTGATTTTACATAAGAATATACCATCAAGTAATCATGTTACGGTCCAAATTTACTTAATTGAACTTAATACAACGAGTTTGTACAGGTAGACTTAAGGCCTTGGGCATTGCCTACCAGTTTTCGATACCTACCCCTTATTATGTTTTTGACAATAAAGTAACGTATAAGTTTGACAGTAAAGTTTTCAAATCATTGTTATCTTCTACCTAATATAATTAATGGAAATCCATTAGCTATTAAATTTTTGGAAACAATCCTAAGTTGAAGACTACCTAATCGATTTACGATCTGTTAAAACTCATAAAAGAATAGCATGAATTTTAATTTTTGCCTAAATAGTCTTTTCCCCCTAGTATTATTCTAGCTCCTGATTATCTAAAAAATCTACATACATCATCTTCTAAATACTCACTCTTCTCCTTCCTATCAGTGAAGCTGACATCCATGCCGTTCTTCTCAAACACTTCTAGCAGTTCATATCTCAAGGCTGATACATCTCCCTTGAGTTCGTTGATGTCATCCTCTGTGACTGGTTCGTCATCCATCTTTCTGTGCATGGCTGAGACGTATCTCCATACTAAGGCTCGCATCACGGCTGTGTAGCGGACATCGTGTTCTTTTTCTTTTTGTTCCTAGAGGATGAGAAATGTTTAGTATGTGTTAACCGCTACGAATGTTATTTTGGTTTTGTAAGGTCCTTATAATATAAAAAAATGTCTGTAGCGGTTTAAAGAACGATTTATAGAACACGATAGGTTACCAACTTACTGTCAGCTTAATGCACGCTACACACCCTACGATATAACTGTGAAGTTTTAACTGTACATTGTACAGTCGAACTATACAGTTAAATCGTAAGTCTATACAGCCTACACGACTGCATGGATCTTCAGTTAAAACAACTGATTGCTCAGTTAAATAAATCAATAAATCGTAAGATGTGTGGCGTTCATAATGACACTTACCGACTTTTCGTTGGTGTTATTATAAGGTATTTTAGAAACATAGGTAGTAAGTTAAGTACAGAAGATCAAAGAAAGGAGAAGGAAAGAAGATTTATATTTAAAGTTACTCCATAAGAAAATTACCCTCAAGGTTAAAAAGGAAATGATATGACAATTTTTCTTATTGAAAAATAAAGTTTGACCTACCCATAAGTTTTACATTAACAAACTTAAATCCCAAGTTTCTTCAACAATTTCGAAGTCATCTCTCTTAACTTTTTACTTGAGTAGCGATAGTTGGGTAAAAAATATATTCTTTCATTAGATGCCTATTCATTGGGTACATTGTTATGATTCATTGTACTCCACGGTTTTGTGAACGAACCCAAAACCGTTAGAATATGAATGAACCTCAACTGCAAATCATGTGAAGGACCTCTGAAGCCTGAGTTCTAGAAAGAAACGAAGTACCTCAGTATGTCAAACCAAGCAACCTAAAGTTTCGCCGATAACGAAACCATAGCTTGACTTTAAATAGGCCAACGCCATCTATCGAGCTATGGTTGTCCCTAACAATATTTTGTTTTAATAGTAGTATGGCGATCGCCGAGTGCATCTCTAACAAAGATTATTTCTACTTTGAACATTAAGTTAGCAAAAAGTCTTCAATTAAGATCATCTGTTCATCAATAAATTCAAGTTAGGATATTCAATAAAAATATGGGTAAAAATATCGAACAATTACATTTTTGAAACAAATACTAACTTTTTAAACATTACAAGGTAATCTTGAATTGTTAAATCTGTATTGGAAGTATGCAACACAAACAAAGTTACAATTAAAATCTAAAAGCTAAAATTGTTTGAAAGTAAACGTTTGTACGTATCATCCACTGATAAAGTTAAAAATGGCGTAAAAGTAGCTTTAAATTCTTCTTATGACTATGTACTAACCTTCATCTTCATTTTCCTCAACTTATCCTTCTTCCTCAGGCCCAGCATCTTGAGGAACAGCTTGGGAGTCGGAAGAATGTTGAAAGGAGGTGGTAATGTGGCACTCTCTTCAAAATAGCTCATCCAAAGACGAGTGCGAGCGAACTTCCATTCCACGTCAGAGTGTTCCTAGATATTTCATATATTTGTTTAAAATTATCTATAAAGTACATACATTTTTTGAATACTACTAATCTTAACCCCTCAAGCGTCCTTATGAGCACCCAGTGGATCATAAGAAAAAATGCTCCATGCTGCTTTCTCTTTTATAAAATCTATTTTTAATGTTTTGTTTTTATTCTGACTGTATTTTTTATTTGTATTGTAATGATCCTTGTTTTCGTGTGCCAATGGCCAAATAAATGCATTTTCTTTCTTTCTTTCTCCAAATGTCACGTGTGCACCCGTTGGATCATAAGGAACGCGGACACTCGACGGGTTAATAAAAACAAACTTTAAATTTCGATTTTGAGATTCATTCATGATAGCACAAGTTTAAACCTAAGTGGATTTTGGTTATTATTTTAAATGGACAATTCTGTACTTATTATAAATACGCTAAATAAAAAAATGATTAAGGGTATATATTTGTAATGATCTATTTATTTACTTCTACACTGGAAAGACATCCACTGCTGAACTTTAACCTTTACCAATGACTTTCACATTTTAAAATTAAAAAAGAACTTTATAAAGTTATGCACAAGTCAAAGTCAAAGCATTTGTTTCAATTAAACCATAATCTGGTGCTTTTGAAACGTCAACAAACAAAACAAAATAAATAATATTCTGTAAGTATATTCATCAGTGAAGCTCAAGGTGCTCGTCCCAAAATTAGGTATCTAAGTTATTTACTAATTGGCCGCAATATTTTACATAGTACCTAACTTATTAAGTAAATAATTCAGCGCCTAGGTTTATTAACATAGCAACAAGTCTTAATAAAACGATATGAGAACCTGTCTATACAATCAAGGACGCAGCTCTTAATTAAGCAGAATGACCTAAACCTTGTTAGTAATCAAGCAATCAAGTTTTACTTTTTTATTAATTCAACAACCAATTATAGGTACATAACCAGTAAAAAATATACCAAATACAAACCTACTTTTGATTTTCATACAAATGTTGTCTACTTACATTTCAAGTACTTAAATTATTTTAACTTTCTAAATATATCTAGGATTAAAAGATAATATTTATAGATAACGATATTGCTGTAAAATGTTAGAAAAAAATACATTAGGAAATCACAGAGAATGAGGTGTAATTTCAACAAGTTACGTACGGCCGAAATAGCTCAGTTGGGAGAGCGTTAGACTGAAGATCTAAAGGTCCCCGGTTCAATCCCGGGTTTCGGCAAAACGTCTTTTTGATTCTGAAATATTTTTCTTATTATTTATAACGCTTATTTTGATAGTATTTCAAATGATTAATTGTAATCACTTAATATGCATTTTATTTTACGTAAATATCCTATGTCTTGTTATTTTGTACTTAGGTTTATAACTATTCATAGATCGATAGGACGGTAAATTGCTTATAAAATCAAAATGTTTTTGGATAGAAAACAAATCATACATATTTTTATCTAAGTGTATGCCTGATACTGAAAAAATGTATTTTTTCTAATAATCAAAGAACGTGATGAACATAAAATGACTTAAGCGGTATAACACCATTTTGTTTAAAACTGACCATAAAATTATTTATCGAAGATTGAACTTGATAATATTCTATGTAGAATTAGTAGGTAGCCCATGTTACTCCTTAGTAAATTAGCTATCTGCCAATAAAAGTTCCATCAAAGTCGGTACTCGGTACAAACAGACCGACAAACAGAGAGACAAAAATTGTAAACGTATTATTTTGGTATATAATTATATTAAATGTATGTATGTATGTATGTGTGTATATATGGATATAATTCTATATTAAAAGTAAATGAATTTGTTTTTAATGTTTTCACTTTTACATTATATAAATAAGCACCTCAGTACGCCAAGCTATAACTACCTCATTTAATATCCTACTATAGTATTCTATCCACCCAAAGGTTGCCTGGTAGATATCACTTTCAGCGATAAGGCCGCCTTTGTACCCTATTTTCTTTATTTGTTACTGTCTCAAATTGGTGTACAATAAAGATTATTATTATTGTATTATATTCATCTGCATGTAGAAAAAACCAGTTATTTCAATATTATTTGTAATATAAGAGAGAACAGACGCCCGAATGTTATTTATCTGTATAGATGAGACAGACTAAATTAAATAAAATATAAGATTAACCCAATTACTATAAAATTTTCCGTCCCAAAGTCTCAAGAGCGTAGATTTTCGCAAAAGACCTTGAAGAAACATAAATCTAAAAGGCTAAACAGGTATCACAACCAGCTCGGGAGCACTTCCTCATCACAAGTTATGGTTGGTTATTTATTTCAATAACTAAACCTTACGAACATTTCTGTCACATTTTGTGAGCACTCGGTTTGGCACTCATCTTAACAAGTTTCACCTATGCTCTTTTCTAGAAAATCGTACATTTTTCGCTTTCATATTTTCACATACCTTCGTACGGAAGATTTGCCTTCAACGATTATCTTCCGGCAGTTGAAGACTTAAACAATATTACGGATTATAGTATTACTAGCTTTTACCCGCGGCTTCGCTCGCGTCACACAAGGATAAAAGTAGCCTATACCAATACACACAGCGCCATCTATACCAATTCTTTTGTTTTCCCTCGGGAATACCAAAACTTTCCGGGATAAAAAGTACCCTATTATAGAGGTAAAGTTAGAAGTCTGAATTAACCAGACTTCTAAGTTTACTGTCTGCAAAAATTCAAAGCAATCGGTTTAGAAGTGACGGCGTGAAGGCGGAACAAACAAACAAACTCACTTTCCCATTTATAGTAAGGATACCTACGCTTTGTTCAATAATGAATAGATCCTCCGTCTATAATAGTAGAAGTATTTGTTACAGTAATTGTAACAAATATTTCTGTATTTGTAACAAGTAGTAGATAGTAAGTAGTATTACCAACTCTTTTAAAGTTTGTTTAATAAAATATTCTAGATTTAGTTACCTCTAGTCGTTTTAAAATACGTACATTCAAAAATACATGCCCAATGTTGTTATAATTCTACAACATTTATCTTCACAAACTTGACTACACTTTAATCGTTAAAGTTTTATATTATATTCTTGCATTTACACAATGAAACACGCTAAGTTAGATAGAACATTCTTCCTTGTGCAGTCAAATTAAAACTTTAAAACATAAGTACAGTTGGTTCCTGCAGACATTGAATTTGTGATATGCGATGAAGAGATATCATACGATGGTACTATCATTACGGATAATGAAAAGTGTGAAAACTGAGAACAGGTCCAATAGAAATTGTAAAGTAATGTTATCTTATCAGCATACGGATTCTAAGAGGGATATAGAAATAGAATAGCATACGGTCAAATCTGGTTAAGACTCAGTGCCGATCCCATTCTAGAACATTTGTTTTTTTTATTATAAAACATAACCTACAGTATTATATGTGCATGATGTATGCCTAAGGTGTAATCCCATAAGTTTATGAATTATAATTTTACGTTCATGGGTGAAAAAATTGCGAAAAAAGTTTCTTTCATAAAGTATTTAAATATTAAGAGATACTTACATCAATCATTGCATAAGAGTTGGACATCATAGCGATGAGGAGATTCAACAACACGATTACGTTGATTACGGAGTATGAGCCGAACATAAGCAGGCCCCAAAACCGTGTGTAACTCTTAATACCGGCCAACTCGAAGTTCTCTAGACCAACCATGCCGAAAGACGCCCAGAATAGAGATTGTGAGGCTTCGAAGACGCTAGTGGAAAATTACATAAATGTTAGAAAATGTTAATTACAAACAAGTTTACGAAATCAGTAACAAAATATCAAATTTTCTTTTTGTACTTAAAGTGTTTCTATGCCAAGATATTTACGTATGTAAAAATCTTGGTTTAAGAATCAACTAGCATGAGCCAAAGCAAATATAGGGCATGAGCACAACAATTTCACAATTTCATTAAAGGAAAATAAACTCTAGCCAACATCAAATAAGAAGACCATTAAACAGTTTCAGCACAAACAATTTATTAGGGAAATAAAACAATTTGAATAGCAGCTACTCTAATAACAAATAAAACTTTCTACTAAAAATGTGCTTCAAACATGGTTATAAAACCTTTAAAATATGATAATGAGATGCTTCATGACAATGGCGTATTCAACTTTTATAGCCCCTTAAAAGTATGTATTACAATAAAATGAACGGAAGCCCTAACCTACACAACATTTTTAATATTCAGGTCATCGAATAATAGTAATAATATTAACAGTACTACACTTTTGAACACTCAAACTTTTGCAGCCTTGTGTATTATACCTCTGCATATTCCAAATACAATAAAGGATATTTATGTAGTATCTTTATGGCCAATAAAATTCACGGCTGCAATAACTTTCGCTATCCAAATATCTCAGTACGCATGATAGTCCATCGTCTGTCTTAAGGTCATGCAATCGACTTCATCAATCTTCAAGGTGTTCATCTTCACGTTAATATCCTCTTCCAGCTGTATCTGAGTTTGCAACAAGTATCGCAACGAAGATGTAGCCTCATGCAACATCTGTTGCAATTGCTCCGTGCTGTGACGTAACATCTCACATTCATAAAACAAAGCCTGTCCTGGAGGATCCCTCACCAACTCAGCTCCTACTCTTTGCGCCCGTTTCCCAAGCCTCGTATGTGCTAAAGCTGTATGACCTTCTTTATCAGCCAAAGCCTTCTGCAGTTGTAAGATATTGTACTGCATATCTGCAATCTTTTGAGTTGTCTCTCGATGCATATCCTCAAGTTTACCTTTAGCTCGCTTTGTATCTTCTATACGATCCAGGAATGCATGATTGCATTTGTTGAAAGCATTCCAGAGGTCATCAATCACTTGCTTTAGAATGGTATCGACAAACATTCGTATTGGTCGTGCGCTTGTTACCTCTCTTGCTGCCATTTGTATATTTTTCGCAGAATACGCGTTGTATTCATCAGCAGATATATTCGCTGGATCCAAACTAGCGTATCCTTCATACACAGAGAGACACAAATCAGTAGGTTTAAGAGAAAGATTGGTCTTATCCAAATCAATAGCTGCTTGTTTGTACTGTAAGTCACGATCCAGAAGATAGCGCGTGGAACGTAGACGCCGCATCTGTTCGTTCAACTGCTCCAACACTCGCTTCAATAAGCTTTGTCCTCCTTGAATGGTAGTAATCTCTTGTTGCAGTGCAGATTCCACTTCATCAACGACCAGATCAATGCCGAGACGTCCGTCTCTCAACATAAGACATTTGCGGCAAATTGTTAAAGCGTTAGTTTGGAGTGAGGCGAGGCAGTCTAAGAGACGTGTTTTGTACATGGACAGAGCTTCTAACTCCAAACATATTTCTTTGCGTTGGATTTGTAACTCGTTCTTATTGAATTCGATATCACCAATACGTTCCTCAATTCGCCTGTCAGATGTAGCTTTCAAGATATGAGCACGCTCTCCGGTCTCATCTCGAATTCGTTCGCTCTCGCCGAGTACTCTATCAGCTAACTGTTGTTGATCTTCTGTGTTCCTACATCTTTGATCGTTGCTTAACTTCCACTCATCGAGAGTGAATTTGGCCGTACGTGGCGGAATACATACTATGGCCTGCTCCGACAACCTTGTGATGGCTATAGGAGCTCCGATGACATGTCGCACTCCAAACTGAGCTTCACTCATTTTTACAAGTGAAGAACCAAATTAATAATTTCAAAAAATAAACTTAATCCAAAATCCGTCGACACCATAATATTAACTTGAAGAAATTGACAAAACTGTGTATTGTGTTGTCGTGGCAACATGTTGACATGCGCAGGTGAGATTCCACTTTCCTGAATTAAATTATAATTTGCCGCGTTTTCAAACGGCATGAGTTCCGTGTTCCGTCACGCAATATTGCAACCACGCCACGATTATAATTTTTAAGTTAACAATATTATTATGTTTGTGGTTTTACAATACAACACGAACGAATACATTATTTATTTCTTTATACTGTGAAGGATCAACTAGCGACTATAACCTACAACAAATGTGACATAAAAAAGATGTATCAAGAGATCTATCATGGACTGACTTCCCGAAACTCCTCCATTTCATACAGGAGTCTCCAGCATTATCCCAATCAGGTAGACCTCCAGGCAATACATAGCATTTACGTTTTTCCAGGTCCGCGAAGTACCACAGCAGTTGGTTTAGACCTAGATTTTGATATGGCACCAAATATTGAATCAAGAAATGAAAACTAAATGATAGTTATAGATTTCCATATAATTAAAACTGGGCCAAGTGATCTGAATTGCAATCGTTTATTTAAAAAAATAGTCAGACATTAGAGAGAGATGGCGGGAGAATCTATAGTATAAATACTGTGGCCTCAACATCGCCACGACTGGTCTGCTAACAGCGAAACGACAGAGAAGTAGAATGTAAAATATTTGTTTAATAATTCTATCTAAGATTATAGAAAAGGAATTATTTAATACTTAGAATACTATTAAAATAATGCTTACCGCAAGCAAAGGCGAACAGCACCAAACTATAGATGAAGAAGAACTTGACGATGTCGATGACCATGCGGCCGAGGGAGATCTGCAGCGGCCCCAAGTGAGGGTTGATGGAGAACAAGTGCACCAACTTCAGGGCACTGGTGAGGAGAAACATAGAGTATGAAGTAAAAAAAGGTTTAGACATAACGTATGGCTTAGGTTGGTAGTTAATTAAAAACAAGTTAATAGAAATAATAAAATAACTCAAGTAAAAGATAAGAAAATTAGATTCTCATAGAACAATAACGACATTATCCAGAAATTGTTTATACGAGGTAAATGTGTAGATTTTAGATACGACCACAGAAAGGTGAAAATATAATCACAATTTTGGACAGATGAACAAAATTTCCACTGTTTCACTTTAACCTAATACTAATTTGTACACAAAAGTGTGGGAGAGCCATACTTCGGCACGAATGGGCCGACTCACAGAAAACCGACGTGAAACAACGCTTGGGTTGTATTCTGTCGTGTGAGTGAGGTTACCGGAGGCCCAAGTAAAAATCACCGAATCCTCCACAATCCTCAAATTCCCAATTCCCAAAACTTAACGTACTTGTAACGCCTTGTTGTTTCGAGTGTCCATGGGCGGCGCCGATTGCTTACCATCAGGTGATCCGTCTGCTCGTTTACCGGCTTATGTTATAAAAAAAACACAGTTTTTGATTCTATGTACTGTACATACCTGAAAATATTAGCGGCAGCAAACAACCCTTCAGCAATCAACTGTGGGTCGAAAGCATCCCAGTTCTCTCTTGGAATAAACTTGGTCTGAGGGTCTCTCCTAATCTCAGTGGTCTGCTGGATATAGGCGGCGAACCTTAGAACAGCCACAGCCACGTAAAGGGAGTTCCTAGTAAAGTCAATGAAGTTCCACATGTTGCGTAAGTAGGAGCGAATGCCTTCGATGTATATCTCTTGGGTTTCTTCCCATATGAAACCTTGAGAAAGGGTAAATACTTATTTGAAGCATAAAATATTTCTTTAATTAATAAAATTTAAGATACAAGTTTGACATCTATGCAATTTACTATATTTGTGAAGAAAAATACACAAGTTGATGGACTAACAAAATTATGAAATTACAAAAATTAGCACACCAAAATCAATTTTAACCATTTGAGTACCGTCATTATAGACACAATTAAAGAACAATACGTTGCGATCACCGGTGTCCTCGCGGTGTTTGACAGTTTAATAAAACGAATGTTGTACTGAACGATATAATTATGGATTTTTAAGTTAATGAAAATATGATACAGATTTGAATACGCACCTAAGACATAAACCACGACGACTAATTCCAAATACGTAGGGCCATTTCCTCTCTGCTTGAGTAGTTCCTTCTCTAACTCTTTGACCATCCACTCCGGACCAAACAGTTGTATCGCCTGCACCTCCGCTCTTTGTGACACCAAGATCAGAATCACTGTTGACCACAATAAATAAAGATAGGTAAGTTAGCTCATAAATAGAAAAAAAACAAACATAAGAATGGCTATAAGCCATTTCCCCTGCAGCGAGTACTACAAAAACATTAAGAAATCTATTTTTACAGATAATAACTAAGAAAGGGATAACAATAACGATGAATTTTAAAGTAAGCTGTCACAGATTATTGACAAAACCGTAGAAAACACTAATTAAAAAAGAAAATCTGCATACAATAAAACAACAAAACTACTCATAATTCAGAAAAAACAAGAAATCTAAATCACACAAAAAAGAAGACTACCTCGGTGGCCAAGTGGTGGTAAGTGCTGGGCAAGGGGGTATCGAGTTTGATTCCCGAATCGGGCAAGTTATATTGGGTTTTAAAAAATTCTCAGTAGTATCTTTCCTTCCAAGTCGTTTTCTTCATTACTGAAGGTCGTGTCTAGTCTGGTGCACGCGTCACTTGATGCACAACCCTCCTCCAAACGCCCCTGTCCTCTGCGGTCTTTATGGCTTGTGGAACTGTCAGGCCGGTTAGGTTTTTTACAGCATCCAACCACCGGGTAGGTGAGCGACCGCGAGGTCTTTTCCCGTTAACCCGACCAACAACCACAAGCTTCTCCAGATTGTTGGGGTCTCTACGCGCAATGTGGCCAAAATAAGTTAATATTCGCTGCAGGCATACAGTGGACAGCCTCGTAGTAATTCCGATCTCCTTGAGAATGGAGACGTTGGTGCGACGAGCGGTCCAGGGAATACGGAGCATACGTCTCCAGCACCACATTTCGAAGGCGTCAATTTTTGCTCTCTCAGTTTTCCTTAGGGTCCAGGATTCGGCGCCATACAAGAAAATGGAGAAAACCAACGCACGCATCAGCCTCACTTTGGTCTTGCGACATATATTTCGGTCCTTCCATATCTTGGTGAGTTTCGTCATTGCTGATTTGGACATCTGGATTCTCCTTCTGATCTCTCCGTCGCTGCCACCCCCACCATCGATAAGAGAGCCCAGATAAATAAACCGATCCACAAACTCCAAGTCTCTGAGTTCATGTGAGCGAGTGCATGTCCCCATTCTGTCCACAACGAGCACCTTGGTCTTGTTTTTATTTATGGTGAGACCAACCAGTTCGCTCTCCTTCTCTACTCTTGCAATCAACTCAGCCATCTCGCTCTCGGACGATGCAAACAAGGTAGTATCGTCCGCATACCTTAGATTGCTGATTCTCCTGCCACCAACAGACAGCCCACGCTCCCACCCCTCCAGAGCTCGTCTCATTATGTATTCCCCATATATATTAAAGAGAATGGGAGACAGGATACAGCCCTGCCGGACTCCCCTCCGAGGCCTAAATGGATGCGACAGGACGCTGTTTACTTTCACCACGGTGCTTCCATCCCTGTAAAGATTAGCAATAAGAGCCACAAGGTGTTTCGGTACTCCCATTTCCCCCAGGATTTTCCACAGGCATCCCATCAGTAGTATCACCAAGTCTCAATAGACTCACAACATAAATAGTGAAAAGTAGATGTTACATTATACAGTGGCATTAAGTGCCGTAATATGCACACCTGCCTACCCCTTCGGGGGTTAAAAGCGTGATGTTATGATGATGATGATGATTTTTTTATAATATGTTATGATGATAACGATGACAAAAAAGAAGAAAAAAAACTTACACAAGAAAAACAGATAACTAGAAGCATGGATCAAGAACTTCATAAACGGCTTCCTCATGAGCTTGCCGGTGGCGCAGTTGGGGGCGATCATATAAAGGGTGCAGTAGAAGGGGAACAACAAGGCGACTCGACAGATGATCATTATCTTCTCCATGGCAGTCTTACGACGGAAGCCAGGGACGCCCTCGTACCAAATGGAAGCTAAGAGCTGTTGGATGTTCGGATGGGCTACGAACTGGAGAGAACAATAAATTATTTTTATGTTATCGGAAAGTAGTAAGAAATATTAGTGCTTAATAATTGTAACTTGAAAACATTACAATTAAATCAACTTTATCGCGGGTTACTTATGTGAATAAACTGAGAAAAGCTCTGCTAGTTTCGAACCACAGAGGGGTTACGCTAGAATTAAAAAAAACGTTATAATTTTTGAGACCTAAAAAACCAATACGAAAAATACTGAAACCAAGTGCATTAAAATTCCATTAGAAAAGTTATTAATTACTATTTCAAATAGTATATTGTTCAGTTTATTTTTTTATGTTAGGATCGTTTGCCATAAAAATCTGCTCTTTTATATATTTTATAGGATTAGAAAACAACCGTCCATTCATTCCAAAGTCAAAGCAGTTATTTCAATTAGGCATTTTTGGAACATCAAATTGAATTGTTAGTACAGCTAGATCCTTCAGCTTCTCCTTCCAAAGTGTAGTCCAGTTTCATACAATGCTTTATATATTTTAAATCATCTAACATTTTTAGTATTCCTTAAGTAGGTATTCAAATCATACTCACCTTCTTCTGCTTAAAATCGATAGCGAGCTCCAACCTGGCCAGTTTCATGTGGTCTCCATCCACAAAGGCTGGTTCATCAGGATCATGGTTCAGAATGATGGCCAGCTCCTGGGAGCTTCGCGACTGGTCTAGAAGGTCCACAGCAAACATTTGCGCTTGACGACGAAGTTCCAAGTAATCGGATTTACTTTCCTGTGGGTAAACATATACTTTTATACATCTTTACTGAAGAATCTAGCCTTGTGGTACTCATTCCACAGATGTCACAACAGTCAACTAAGAGACTACATATTGAACCGAAACTGGGCAGAGGTGTTCCCTGATTTATCAGCCAACTTGGTTGCCAAGCCTGGAGATTATGGCAAACCCTCTTTTGTACAGGAGATCCATGGCCTAGTACGTCACGAGTTTTAGATGATGAACAAGGAATAAAATGTTGTAGAATTTTAATAGAATATTAATTACCTGTTCAGCAAAAGCCAAGTTCCTAAGCTCCCAGGAGAGCTGGAAGGCTGTCAAGATGGGATCAGTAGATGACAAGGCGATGAGAGATGGTGACGCTAAGGCTCGGTACTCGTTGAGTCGAGCCAGCGAGTGACGGAGGGAGTCCTCTGTGGACTCACGGATACACTCCTCACAACCACACCTAAATAGGAATATTTTTATATAGTGAAACCAAAAAAGAGCAACAATGTTTTTTAAATGCTCAGTAGTAGCACGGAGTCCTGCAATTGTGTCCGGTATATGGCAATACGCTCACCCCCTTATTACATGGGACTCATAACATAAATAGTGAAAAGTCGGTGTTACATTGTACAGTAGCATAATGTGCACCTCTGCTCTCCTCCTCCGTGATGTTAGGTTATGTTATGAAAGCACTAACGACCTTATTAACCTAGCAGGTTCTTGACTAACTACTAATATCACACCTGCATTTTAAACAGGAATTTTCACGACGAAGTACCATCATCCTCACAAGGCATAAACCCAGCCCCTAGATCCATTTTGCTTACTGAACTGAATGAAGAAACTTTGGTTCATACCCAGTGGCTGACTTAACTAAAAAAATTATAAAAAAGGTATTTTATTCAATAGTGTACTTTTTTATTTGGAATCTTACTTAACGTCATGAGGGTTGGGCAACGTGGCTCCGCGGTCGAGCAGGATCTTGAGTATCTCGTAGTTATTCTTATGGGCAGCCAGCATCAGTGGTGTCACGTCCGGTGTAAACATTGCCGTGTTTGGATCCACTTTCTGCCAACTCTGTGTTTAGAAAATAATTGTAAGAAAGCTACTTTAAGTACTGTAAACTGCCTCTATCGTATGGATTGGACTCCGAAAATTGATGAACATAACATTTGTTTATAAAACTCGTTATAATGATCTTCTTCAACGAGAATCCTCAACTCTACCAATAAGCAGGTAGCAGCAGCCAGAATCTACAAGGGCAACCCGGTTCACGGCCATATGCGACGTGGCTAGTCCATGAGGACTTCCATCAAGTTGCAAAACAAAAAAGTGACAACATAACAATCAACTTACGTAAGGTTCTCCCTCCTTATGAATTAGCTCTTCATGCTCCAACAACAGCTCGACAGCTTCAACAAACTCAGCGTTGATGGCCTGCAGTAAAGCATCCTTGGTCTCCACCCCCATGATAACCAGTAATTCAACCATCTCCAAGTTCTCGCCATCAATAGCCAAAGTTAGGGCTCCACGACCTAATGAGTCTACACAGTTGATTTCTATATGCTTCTTGCGATGAGCTTTTTGAAGTATCCTGTGGAAAAAAGATTATGTTGTGTTCTTCAATTCTTCTAGAACTAGAACTGTGTTATGTTTCTAAACAGCTCATTTTGTTAATCAAGTAAGAGAATGAGTTCCTATGTACACACGCTTAACATCCAATTAACTGCAAGTCTATTCAAGCCTCGTCACAGTTGGTAGATTTAGAATTAGATATAGAATTTTAACATACAAAAGGTATCTAAACTGTTGACCCAAAACCTTTCATCTGGCTTAAAAAAGTCATAGAAAAATGAACAGTCAAACTTTGGAATAGCAAAATAATAAAGAAAACTATTTTGAACTATGCTCTTTCAAACGAAAATCCTTTTATTGAATGCTCGGCGCTCAAATTGACGTGTATTCATAGTCCGTAGACCGTAGGCTCACGTGCACTTTAACAAAGTTAGGTTTAACGTAGGTAATCCGATTAGTTCGTAATTAAGTTTACTGGTAGAATAACCTGCGGATAGTTTCAAAATTTTCCTTTGTATTGTTGTCGCGAAATACTACTTACTTATATTTTAACATTCGAAATGTGCTGATTTGGTTCTGTTTGCTTTATGAGGCTTACAAATTGCTAGGTATTACTAAAATTCTGATTGCAAGCTATGCGTGCTTAAAATGGATTTTATATCTCAGTGGAATAAAAAACCATCTACATGTATAGGTGTTGTATTTTATAATTTAGAATATTTTTAATACACAAAAGGAAATGCTACGCTAAACCTAACTAGTATTACAATCACGTTTATGATTTTCTGCGCAGAGATAAATTAAATCTAAAAAACTGTATCTTCAAATCTTTGCTTTACTAAAATTGCAAACCAAAACCACAATTTGACAGAGTTATCTAGAATTCCAGAGGTATTTGACGTTCAATAATAAAACTGCGAGACCTCTGGTTCTTGGAATCATGGCTGATTTAACGTGGATTTTTTGTAGAACAAAAGAGACAAGAAATTAGATTTCCAACAAATATGTGAACAAGCGATGCCTAGTGTCTATATTCTACAGATTTATTTCTCAAAGACATTCCTATTTACTTTATCTTTTTTTAATGTAATGTTGTTAAGTGATTTTTGTGAGACAATAGACGTTGGTACACACGGCTACACATCGAGCTTTACATAAACAGTATAAACTGAACGTTAAATGTACGGAAAGATGATGCGACGCGACACCAGGATAAACTGTTTTTTTATGTGTGGCCGTGTGTACCTACTTGGTTTACCCATGATTATCCAACACATAATTTTTACTTTTAAAACTGTCTCTATTGGTCAATAATAATTGTAGATTCACAGCTCCTCGCCGGTTGGAGCTATGTCTAAGTATACAGGCTGCTACGCACTGTGTCATGGTTTTAATTCCCTCACGAAACATATTTTTGTGTTATCCATAAATGGCTTTTTTCCGGGTTTGGGTTAACACTCACGGTATACAATTTTACATAGATACACGGTCACGTGTATATGTCGTGGTGGCCCGGAAGTTTAAGACGCCCGCTTCTCAAGCACGAGAGTGCGGGTTCGAAACCTACCAACGGCAAGTACCAATGTGACATTTTCCAAGTTATATGTACTTTTTAAGAATATTCAGACACGACTGACAAAACGGTAAAGGAAAACATCGTTAGGAAACCTGGGCTTATAATTTCTAATTATAATTTTGTAATCATCAACCCGCATTGAGCAAGCGTGGTGATTAATGCTCAAACCTTCTCCGTGTAAGAAGAGGCTTTGCTCAGTACCTAGGTAGTTGGCATACAGGCTGTTGATGTGATGTGGCAGGGTCACATGTATCTATGTAAAATTGTATACACTGTAAAGCACCCAAGACCCATGATAAACACCCCTTGAAAGACAACGTTAAAAAAAACGAAAACTTTATATGCTGACTCACCGTCTGACATTGCCCATGTCTCCACGTTCCACGGCCAGGAGATACTTCTTCTCCTCCAGGGTAAGGGGTTTGGGTAGGGTTGGCAGTTCCATCGGTTTCCGAACACATTCTAGCTCGGGGTCACCCTGTTAAACAGAATTAAAATAATTTTATGAAGACCAAAATGTACCTACGTAACACAATTTTTGAATTGATGAGTAAGTAATTGTTTAGCTGTTTTGTATTAAATTATATAGAACCAAAAACGGTAACGGTCTTCCTTAATATTTATCTCGATTTCATAAAATATCTAATTATGTAGTTTTAATTTGTTTGGTTAGTTTTTTACTTCCCGCCAAATTCGTAATTGGGAAACGTCAAAACAAATATGATAACTTTTTTAAATGTTAAAGGCCCTACGGCGGGTCGGATTTGAAATTGGAACGAAACAAAAGAGGATGATAGGTTGTATAGAAATAGAATAACAATAATTTTAATTAATGTTTTAGGTTTTATTAAATACATTTTACTTCATTGTTAAAAAGAAAATTAATTTTAAGAAAATAGTGAATGTATTCCTAGCTTTGAGTACCTAAATAGAGAATAAAATAATAGTATTTTACTCTATATTTAATTTATAAACGAAATTTACTTTAACGTTTTAAATTGATAAAATTAATATTTAACTTTTGTTCACTTGACAATTTAGATCTGGGTCCGATTTCTCAAAATTACCTCTCTAGATTTCAGTATATTTACTTATTTAATTTCAACTTTAGATATTACTTATTATAGTCATGATGATGAAACAGTAACACATACATAGACAAATGAAACTATTAGGTACTCACGGCCTCCAGATCCTTCTTCTCGGCCATGTTGGCGGTTTACCCCTCTGGAGCGGCGTCCGTCCCCCTGGCAGACTGTTTATCTTCTTATAATAAACAAATAAACACAATCATTATTTTATCCTACTCAAAATCCTGAAATAAAACTGCAGTATTCTGTACCGTTCATCATTAATAGGTTTTATAATTAGGTATTGGGTCTAGATTTACAAACATCCAAATGATTTATAAAAGAATATTTTATTAATAGTTTAAAAAAACTTTGATTAGTAGACGGGAACAAATTAAATATCTATTTACACCTACATACAAAAATATTGTCAATTAATGACTTATAACAGACTGCGCCAGACAATCCACAAACAGAGAGAGATGGCGGGAGATCGTGAGGAAAGCTGTAACGGCCTCCAACACAAATACAGCCGCCTCAACGTGACCACGACCGCTCTGCCAAGAGCGAAACGACAGAGAAGAAAGAATGACTTAATAATTATCTTTTCGGCTGACTCACGTAACTGTTTGACGAAGAGCTCGACTAGTTTCAAGCTATGTTAGAGGTTTATATTTATGAGCAGTATTCCGCGACCCGCAAGGTGACAATCGCGCTGCTACTAGTAATTGTGTGAGTAAGCCAAAAAATATAATAATATGTATTTAGTATGGTATTTTAGCTAGGCCTACATCTGAAGCTGCGAAAATTATATATTCCTTTATATTAGATAGATAAGTAGACTAAGTTAATGTTTAAGTTGTAAATACATTTGTTATGTAGAATCACGATGGGATTGACATCGTCACAATGTGTACAAAAATCCCTTGAAATAAATGAGATTTAAAAAAAATGTATTTAGTATGCCACACTAAAGTTTTAATATAATCACTTAATGACTACCATATACCATAGTCAACAGGCAACAGACAGCCACAGTACATAATATTTACGAATGACAAGGGCGTGAAGCCATACAGTAGGCCTATACACGGTGACTGTAAGATAATCTCCCAGACATGACGATTACCGGCCATCACCTAGTTGCGCGCTGACATAACCTTACACTGGCCAGTAATTCAATAAATTCCATGTTCATGTTTTATGTACGTGCGTGGCCTATATGACTGTGTCATGTTTAATCCTACTAATATTATTATTAGGGTAGTTTGCTAAATTTTATTTTAATGTCCGTCTGGTACATTAATTTAAAACTTTAGACACGTATTTTTTCTTTTCTCACAGCATTAAATACTTTCTACAATTTTACTTTCTATTTTTTTTATTTTCTACAATACATTAATTTGAAATATCGTGTGACGTCACAGCGTGCCACATTTTATAGCACGTTATGACGTAACGACGTCCCGCTCCTAAACTTAGCGCCATTTTATCTAAGTATTGCAACTTAATACGAGAAAATAAAAAAATACGTGTCTAATATTTTTTCATTATCTAACTGACGGACTAATTAAGTTTTTAATTTTGGTACCCTGGAAACTACCCAATTGCGAAATTTTGTATGTATGTTCGTTTGTTACGGTTTTACGTCAACACGGCTGATGAAAAAATGAAATTTGGAACAGAGGGAGATTATTGCTTGGATTTCGAATTCAACTACGAATATTTTAACTAACCAGTTGATCAATTAATTATTTCTTGTTCTTGTTACTGCTGTTTATTACTGCACGATTGTCTAGTTAGTCGAGTGGTCGCAAGGGTGAATGCTAAGCAAGGGATCTGGGGATCGATTCCGAAACGGGCAAAATGCTATTACATGGGACTCATAACATAAACAATGAAAAGTGGGTGTTTTTACCCGCGGCTTCTCTCGCTTCACAAAAGGATAAAAGTAGCCTATGTGACATATACCAATACACACAGCGCCATCTATACCAATACTTTTGTTTTTCCTCGGGAATATCAAATTTTACCGGGTTAAAAAGTACCCTATTATTTAATCCGGACTTCTAACTTTACGTCTGCAAAAATTCAAAGCAATCGGTTTAGTAGTTACGGCGTGAAAGTGGAACAAACAAACTCACCTTCCGATTTATAGTATTAGTAAGGATAACATTTCTAGACTAGGTATTCTAGGTAGGGTTTATATTGATCTAATTATACTCGGAACAATTTTATTATTTTTGAATCTGTATGAGATCTAGACATTGTGATCGGATTAAACGAGACGCCTTGTCTTGATTTAAGTATCAACTTAAACTTTTACGCTCATACGTACCCATTTGTTATGCAGCGGAAATTAATTCTAGGTCTTTATAGGTACAGACAATATGGCATACCTATTATATTGAATATCTGATACCTTGACATTTTTCGGCACCTTCGAAAAGATACACATGACCTTAGAAATAAATCCAGGTAAGGTAGTCTTGTGGTAAAAGTAAAGTAAAATATATTCGGAAGCCAGTACGAGTTTATTTTACGTTTAAAATAATCGTAACGAGTACGCATTCGGTGCTCTGATTGGTAGCTTCATTGGCGCCGGCCCATCAGAGTGCCAAGCACGAATAACTATCACATTCGTAACGTAATAGTATCGACCGCGTTCGACGCTCTGATTGGCCGGCTTAAGTGAACCAACCAATCAGAACGCTTAACTCGCTTCATACTATTACGATACGAATGCGATAGTTATTCGTGCTTGGCCCTCAGAGTGCCGAACGCGTACTCTTTTCGAATACTTTAAACGTAAAACAAACCCGTAGATACTAAGGCCTCAGGTCGCCACCCCTTCTCTTCACGCGGGTGTCGACCGGGCAGCAGAGCTCTCTAAAAAACCTGAACATTTCACTGCGATCTCCAATCTGCCTGTCAATCATGGTGAATTGCTTAATATGTAAAGAAAACACTTAATTCGGACTGTTGATGAAAGGATGTTTTTGTGTCCGTTATCATTTTCAATTATCGTATTCGATTCATGGATCGAATGAGGAAGATAAATCGATCCCCTAAGGAAATGGAAAATGCTAAAAGCAGAGCTAAAAATTTGTTAATTTGTAATGTGTGCTAACGGTGCTAACTTTGTTTGTAACTAACTATGTAATGTGTTTGTAAACGCACCCACGACACAGGAGAAAATCCTAGTATGTGGCAACGTTTTTTTTAAAAGAAAAAAAAGAAAAATATCCCTAAAACAATAGCCTAATTAGCAGCACTCTCTCTTATTTAAATAAAATGTCAATTAACAAAATGTAGAATGCAAAACAACAAAACAAACAATATAAAATCATGGAACAGTTTGCATCAGTGCGTCGAAACTTTTTTTTAAAACTATTCATTGCAAAGTTGGCGAGTTTTTGCTGTAGAAATATGAAAATGAGTTTTAATACGCATTTTAGAGTTTCATTTTAGCGATCTCTTTTTATTTATATTATTTTTATTGTTGTTCACACGGGGGTAAATCCTAGTGTGATAATAACGTTTTATTTAATAAAAATTAATAAGTAAAATGGTTCTTCTTTTTCATAAATAGCTATGTATGCTATGTGCTATGTGCTATGATGAAAAGGTGCCCAGCTTTTTGGAAGAAAGACTCTAGAGGTAGGCTCAACCACGCTAACACCACCCTGGTCACTACCATCACCACTTATACCACCAGGCACTGGTCCTCATAATAGTCCTTTAGGTTCCACTAATCCATTGACCAAAGCTGTTGTTTGTAAAACCCTTCCGAATTAGGTACTTTCCTTAATCAAAAATAAATTATTTCATCTGTTCATAAACATACATAACATCACGCCTTTTATCCTCGAAGGGGTAGGCAGAGGTGCACATTATACCACTGTACAATGTAACACCCACTTTTCACTATTTATGTTATGAGTCCCATGTAATAGGGGGTGAGCCTATTGCCATTTACCGGGCACAGTTCCAGACACCGTGCTACTACTGAGATTTTTTTTCAATACCCAGTCATTCTTTGCCCGACCCGGGAATCGAACCCGAGACCCCTTACCCGGCAGTCGCAATTGCGACAACTCGGCCAACGAGGCAGTCATCTGTTCATTACAATAAAATATTAAAAAATAATCACACCATTTTATGACCAACTTTATTTTAGTGTTTTTCTAGTAATTTTTTAACAAATAAGTATGCTGTTTGACGATAAAAAAACGTGACGTCACAATACACAATCTCGTATAAAATTCATAGAAAACTGTCTTTTTTGACAGTTCGAAAATATTGAAATTGAATTAAAATTAAAGTATTGAACTTGACTAATTGTCAAATGCCATATTATTGTGCATGAACGATACATAAATTACTTCTTTACACTGCATACAAAATGAACTTTATTATCTTTCAGTCATCCTTTCAGCTACAGACATACATAAATGACAATTTGTCTTGTTACCTCAACACTAATACTTTTCACCTTAACCTACTTATACACAGTCAAGCCTTTGAAATGCGTGTAAGTTCCAACAAATCTACAATAACAATGTATTGCTAATCATTTTATTCAAATGAACTATTATAAAGTAAGTACTATTTTGGAAACGATGACGTCACTGTTCATAGAGTTGAGACTACAATCATCTAGCGCAGGGTTTCCCAAAGTATGGGTCGCGAGAGATTTTTTAATGGGCCTTGTCAGTAGAATAATGCATTAACCAACTGTTTTGTATTTTATTTTTCACTAGCTTCTCTGCCAGCGACAAATGAAACAAGTGAATTTATTTCTGCAAATAGGCTACAAGGCAAGACTTTTACACGTAAATTTTATCAAGCGAACGATGAGGTCGACATTTCCTAACTGACTACTCTGAGAAGAAATGCCGAAACAAACTCAGAGGTCCGTCTTTTTTACAATCCAGACAAATGTGTATAAAAGATTATGTGTGAGAACCGTGCAAGTTCTTTCTGTAGTGGCCTTTTGAGGAAAGAACCACAACAGTTTGAGCGGACCCGTGAAGGCAGTACGCATGTATCGTTTTACAATCAGCTCAATTAACAGGTGAGGCTGACTGATCCGACGAACAATACCAACCTAAAGTACTTTTGGGTGGGTCGCACAAAT